CACTTCTACATTTTTTCAGTACATCATGTAGTTTCCCATTGAGCGATCTGTGACCTATGCTATTGAAAAATTATCTTGAAAGAAAGAATAAAATAATGCTAATGTGAAATAATACCGGCTTTTTTGCAGTTACTGGTGGGAAGCATTCAATTAAAAGGTATGTTATCCTTTTAATGTAACAGAAAAGTCTGTCTGAAATTTATTACATTTATGGTAAAAATTCATTGTGAAGAGATGATGCAGTTAACATATTACTTAGTTGTAATTTGCTTAGGATCTAAGGGCAAAGGAGAATGATACCTGATTGTGATATGTTTGTAAAATGATGCTTTCTAACAGTAAATAAGAATCCTGCATAATCTTGAAGGAATATTTGTCATTTGTTAGTAGAATTATTTACTGTAGTCAGTCATGCCTACAATAAAGTTATTTCTTAGACATCCTTGAAAGTAAAAGGTACCTGGTTTAATTCTGAAATTTGGTAAAATGTTATTACTTTTGTGCTGAATATGAATTAAGTTTTATGTATAATCCTACATGGATATTTTTCATAGTAAGGTTGCAGTATTACTCATTTACTTTTAAAATCTTTGTTCCTTTTCTGAAAATGTATCTGAATGAGATGATAGATATGTTACAATCATGCAAATGCTGCTGTAAACTATGTGTTCCATCCATATGAATACGTAGAGACTTATTCCACTGTTTATTTGAATTGAGTTAACTTCTATTCCTAAAGATTATACTAGTTAACAAAGTTGTTTTTGTTACAGAAATGACCATGTTTTTCTTTCATTCAGTATACCTTATAGTTTATTTTTCTCAAAACCTGTACATATACGAGCCCATTTTTGGACAACATTCAGTACCTTGTTACGTAAGTAATCAAGATCAGAGTGCAGATATACATGCCTCAATTTATTTGGCATTTGCATTTTCATTAATGCCATAAGGCGTGGAAATGCATAGGTTGAAGGCATTTCTTCCACAGACTCAATATTAAAAATAAGAGTTGCATTAATGTGTGAATATTTTTCATTACATACTTCAGATTGTACACTTTAACTGGTGTATCCTTTTGTGTTTTGAATAAAATATGCATAAGAAACTGTTCGTAAACTAATATAAAGTGGAAGTGATGTTAGAAGAAACCATTTTAAAACTGTGAAACACAACAGTTCAAATTATACAGTTGTGTTATTAAAGCAGAAAGCCACTACATGTTTCAACCTCTTTCATTTTTCATCAGGTATGTATTTAGATACTGACATTGACATTTATTAAGTCTGTTGGTTACAGTTTACAGTGTAATTCATGACTCCCTAGTCTTCAGTCCATCTTCTTTATAAGCTTATGTTCATCTTAATATTTTTTTATCTTCTGTATTTATACGTAAAACTTTATCACTGTATCAAATCTTTCTTATCTTCTAGTTTGTGATTATTCCTCATATTTATTTACTGACCTTTTCCATTTATCTTTGTATCTGCTTAAATATAGCCCAGTTTTCTGCAGTTTGTTATAATTTTTGTCTGTAACTATCCTAATCACAGTTTCTGGATTAATATATGTAAATCTTTTGTCTACCAACTGTTCTTCACTTTCCAGTTTCAACATATCTCAATATATGGCTCCTGCCTTTGTCTTTATTACACATAGAACATCCCATGCTCAGTATTTCTCCTAACTCCCTTCAGTCTTCAGATGCCCATTTTCCACCATCCTATACTTCTTCTGGCCTCCAGGGTACATAATACTGTGTATAATTTATTTTCCCGACTACACTTCAATTTATTGTAAACTATCACTGATCTTTTCTCTTTCTTACGTGCTTCCATATTGTCTCTGAATATCCACACACCTTTTACTTACTCGTTGCCCTGATGATGAAGGCAGTAAGAACCTGTGAAATATTGGTAAACTTCTGCTAGACTTCACGGTGCTACAACTCTGAAAACAGCCATATTTGTGATTACTGAACCTCAAATCCTACCTTTTACTTCCTTCTCTGCATACATTAATATTTAAATGTATACTCTGATTGTTCATAAAACAATGAGGTTGAAATAATTGTCTTGTAATGATCAGTAGTAAATTTTTAAATATTTTGTGCTTGTAGGATTTGAGGTTTTCATGACGGTGAGTCTGAAGATTCCTGTCTTCTGTTTTATACTTGTCCACTTATTATGACTGAATAGGTTAGAATATGTAGTGGATCTTTCATTTGGTAATACACCCATATAATTATATTCTTGATGGTTTGATATGCATTGTTGAAAGTATATATTATAATCTTGTGTTATATGACACCATATAGTCATGTATATTCCTCAAAAACTGATAACCAGCCACATGACTGTATTGTGTTACAAGCCAGAAGATTACAGACTGAAGTTATAGACTTAGTGACCATCTTTTTCCTTTTGGGGACAATCTTTTAAAAGTTATATATTGTTGTTTCTTGGCTCTACATCCCAGCTTTGGGTTTCACTACCTCCTTTTCGGAGGTTTCTCGGTCTTTCAAGTGTGCATTTATGAGTATTGAATGACCGGCCCACTGACTGCACAATTTCTACTCAATCTTGATTTGACTGCCAGAGCTATCTAGCAGTGAATCAGGAGACTTGGGTGAGAAATGGCTGCTGAATTTTGCTTACAAAACATCTTGTTCATGATCGTAAGGTTCTTTTACATGCCGAAAATCTACTACATGGGACTGCCGCCTTTACTTCCCCTCTGAAGGAAGTTGTGCTATGGATTTTTATCACCCTTAAAAATCCATCGACCTCAGCCGGTTTTGAACACGCTAACCTTGGGTCCAGTGGCAAGCATGCTAACCACTAGTCCACTGAGGGCAACTTTAAAAGTGATATAATCTTATAATAACAAAAATGTAAAAAAATGAATTAAATAATTACTTCTTGCTGCTGATTATGTGTGCAATCCTATTCAGAGTAAGATAACTGATCCCTGAAATTAGTTATAAAGTGAGTTTCAGAATGACCTGCTTACATGGGGAAGGTACTAAGAAAAAAATCACATAATTGAAAAGTGTACACTAAAACATGCAAATTCGAATGTACCGTTACTGTTGTCTTGAGATTTATACTTAACGCAGAAGGTATGAAGTTCTGTTTCTTGTCAACAGAGAGTTAAAGGCACAGATGGCTGTGGAATGTTCCTGATATGTGGAGGGACCAATTGGGATCTCACAGGCCGGAAGAATGTTCCAAAAGGTATGTAATGTGAAGCCAATTCAAGTCAGTGTTATGCAACCTAGTGTGCCACAAATTTTTATAAGAAATTGCATTCTGAAAGGTGTGATGTTTCCTTTGTTCCATCCTGTGCTTTCTTACCTTTCCTTTGTATCACCCCGTTTTAACCTTGCCTTCTTCCTGTCAGTGCGCCCTGGTCTTCATCTGTTTTGCCATGTTATACGGGAACCAGAGTGAGTCGGTCTCTGCCCGGTGGTCGGACACTTGACGTCTCTTCCATTTGTTCGGACTAAATTGGGTGGGTTTTTCCTGGCTTAGAAAGTGGGCAGAGGTGTGACTCAGGTTCCTGGGGCTGCTTCGTGATATATCATTCTTTTCTGTGCGTGACTAGTTATATATATATATATACACATACATGTGCAAGCACACATACACACACACACACAATCTGTTTGATTTGTATTTTGTGAATAAATAATAGTGTTATAAAGGGTGTGTGCATGTGTGAGTGAGTGTGTCATAGGGCAAGTTTCTATGTGTAGATATATATTTATGCCACACACAGTTCTGTACCCACTTTCATGAGATGAAAGTTTGTGATGTGCTGTTATGTGTTTTTAACAAATTGTGGTGTGCCATGGGTGAAATTCCATGACAGCTTATTAAAAATGCTGCTACATTAAGCCTATTATTGCTGACAGGGTCACATATTACTTCATAGTTTTCTTTATCAAAATCATTTATCAGTGAGATATTTAATGTTTTGCTTGAGTCACATTTGAGTATCAGATTTTATTTCTGTTGTAATTCATATGCATCCTTCCAAGTGCTTATTACTAACAAATGTTCTAGTTCTTGATATGTCTTCTTCATTAAGCCAAACAGTTGCTCAAAGTGACAGTTACTATCAAATCCTGACAAAATTAACAATGCATATTTTATGATATCAGGCAACAATTTTTCATCATGCAGAGTAACACAGTGACAAAAAATGGAAGATGAAGGCATTGTGTTTGTTCGCTAGATTTTGAATTACCTACAAGATTATATAGGATTACAACTCTAAGAAAAACCACCAACAAATCACTCCTAATTATAAACTTTGTATCATTCACCTCAGAAATATTGATAAACTTCTACCAGATGACATGGCACAATAACCCTGGAGACAGCCATCTTCTTTGACACTTTCACGACTTCTGTAAGATTTGAGGTTCTCATGATAGTGAAGGTACAGTCCACAGACCAGAAGAAAATCCCTGCGCAAAATTTCACAGTGAGTGACGACCCATCCTAAAAGCATTCGTTCCACAACCACTGAACAACAGACAACAGGCTTTCATGTGTTCTAATGGGTACAGCTTTAAGATTACCTCACAGTGGCACTGTGATTTAATCTAGAATATTATCAGAACACAGTACAGGTGCACTCACTACACACTACGCTTAACTGTTTGATGTTTTCAGTCTGTGTGTAGTAGTGTAAAACTCTGGCATGTCACTTCCCACCAATAGCAGCCCTCTATCCACCTGATACGAAACATTCCCCCTGCACTGCACCAGAACTGACTTCCCCCCTCAGGGCTTTTCTCGTGGTCGGTGGACAGTTACAGTATTGTTTGTCTGGGTTGTGATGCCACATGGATTTGTTTTGCATTATTTATAATTTTAATATATTCATAATTTTGTTCAGGTACAAAAGGAGCGACTGGTCGCAATCTGTGGTCCCCACATCGTTTCACTCCTCTTAGTGGTGTGAGAGTGAGACTTGTCGCATCAGGCAGCAATAGCGTTCACAGTATTATTGTCACAGAGGAGGGAAAGGCTATGAGTTTAGGTAAGAGTTGGCGGTCTCTTAAAGATCATAATTTGCTTAATTTCTGTAGTTTGTACTTTGTTTCCCCTGTATAGAGAGATCGTTTGAAATGTTGCATAATGCACGTTATACCAAACACTGGAAGGAGGACACATTCAACATATTTTATATGTTTGTAATGTTTATTGTGTTGTGATTGCATAGATTATAAATTTCAGTTCCTAGCACATCTGAGCTGTGTTTTAAGATTATCGTTATAATATAATAGAAGGATGGATCAGTGAGTAACTTTGGTGATTAATGTGTTTGTTCATAGGCTTGACTGTATGACTTACTCATTTACTTACTTGCTTACTCTGTGGAGCCAAGTTCTTCCTGAGAAGCCAACAGTCACTCGGGCACTGAAGAAATTACCGTTTTATGTAACCTAAAGGTTTATTATCATGTTCACAAGAACCTGGAACTGGTCCCTATGCTGGCCAGATGAGTCGTAGGCTTGACTGCCAGTGTCAAAAAATTATTTTGAGAATACAGGCTTCTATTATACAAGTCTAGGCTATTTTGCTATTAGAAAGTATTATAACGAATGGCATAAATAAGAATATTTACATGAAATTATCCATTATCTTTGCTTTAACTTTTATTTTTCTCAATCAGCATGAATCATAATCACACATATATGAACAATAATTTTATGAAGTAGAAATATTTAAAATGTTATTCTCATAATGGCGTAATGGAAATTACGAAGAAGTAAAGTCAGGTTACAAAACATCAATCTTACAAACAAATTGTAATACATTTAATTTACTGTAATAAGTTTATAATATAAATATAACTGCAGCTAAATAAGAAGAATATTTAATTAAACCTCTGATACTTTTTGGTAAGTTAACATTTTTTAAACTTAACCTCAAATTTTGTATTGATAGTCATTAAAATGTTCATGTGAGTTCTGAAAAGTTTGGTTTTTGTATTAAAAAAACTGTGAATAAAAATGTTAGAGACTTACTATAGGCTCACAGGCCAGATTATTTGGCCCTGCTTTAGTTAATTCCATCCTGCGCAGTCTGAGGCATCATGCTTTGGACCGGTGATACAGAATGTGCGCTGGTTCAAGTCTCGGGGAAAGAAATTTCTCATGAGATTTTTGACCGGTGTATGGGACCAGTGGCAACCCAGCATCGTGAGGAAATTGGGGAGCTACAATGGGTAGCGTAATCCGGTCATGAAAACTAGCAGTGGCTGGGGGTTCGTCATGCTGACCACGCGTCACCCTATATCTGGTTGGATGATCGTTCACCTCTGCTTAGGCATGTGAACTTGAGGCCAGCAGCCAGCTAGTCTGCTTTGGCTCTCAGAGGGCTGTTACGCCACGGATTATTATTATTAGTTAATTCCAAAGTACAAACATGACATTATGAATTAAGGTATTGTCACCAGGTCGTAATGAAAAGGGACAACTTGGCGTTGGTGACACAAAGCGCAGAGATGTGCCGACTCTCATTGAAGCTCTGAAAGATCATATTGTCGTTGGAGCAGCTTGTGGGAAGAACCATACTCTGCTTTTGACAGGTAAGTCTCTTCATTTTGAATGCCTCATAAGAATGCTGTCTCTCAGCTTTGCCATATCCTGGTTACTACTGTTTTTATCTCATATTTTAGAGACTGGTAATATTTAATAAAGGCAGTTGTTTGCTGCTGTTGGTGCAGAGAGGTGTTGAGCTACAAGTTGTGGCATTGCAAAACTGTATACATGAACATGCAATTAGTTGTTATTACTACTGCTAAATAATTAATACAAATTTTTGCTGTAAACACAATATAAATACTACAACCATCTTTATCCCTGAATTCTTCCGAAGCAGATTCCCTCAGATGTATAAAGTGAAACTTTTGCGGCCACTGAAGTTGATGAAAGATTCTTGGGTTACAAGCCACATCAGGTGGCTGAATGGTGAATAAACCATATCTTCTGCCAATGTTTCAAGAGCAATCTCTGCTCTCATCCTCAGAGCTGTTGCTCTACAAAAGGGCCAGATTTGTTACGCAGCAGCCGTAAGGATGAGAGCATAGATTTCTCTCGAAACATTGGCAGAAGATATGATTTATTCACCATTCAGCCACTTGATGCGGCTTGTAACCCAAGAGTCCTTTACTAGATTCCCTCAGGTTTACTACATTTAATTCTAGTGTTCCATCTCTGCCAGTCTTTCTTTTGAAATATTCCTGTAAGTTTTTGGCATGTCTTACACAGTTCATCCATGCTGTTACCAGTTTTGAGGATGTTAGTCTTATACATAATTTTGACCATGTAGGCTCATGAAAGTTCTGTTGACAGTGGTACAGAGGTATTCACAGCACTGTGTGACCATGTTTCCTGGTAACAGAATTCAGTTCATAATTTTTGTGCTGTGTCTTACGTTTTAACTAACTGTAGGTACTTTGTGCCTGTTCGTGAGGCTGAATGTGGAATGTCTCTGTTCGTTAGCCATGTCATTATATCACCTTTTTTGTGTTTGTGTCCAAAGTTTCATCTAGCATACTTGTGTGGATGTGGATAGTGTCCATTACAGTGACTGACTCTCATTTCCATGACATGGTTCTTTGTTGTGGGAAATTCTTCCCTAGTGTAAATATAAAGAATTGTACACTGCAACACATTTTTACTGCAGTCTCATAACTCACTCTGTTTTCTTGTACTCATGATGGGGACTGAATTTTCATTGTTTCATTTGTATTATGTGAAGATTTTGTCACAGTTCTTTGTATGGTTTGAATTCCAGCACCACGTGATTCGTCTGTTCACTCCTGACACTTGGAAACATTTTGAGCTGAGTTTATGTTTTGTGCTTAGAAACCACCGAAATGTTGGTACATGTTTATTTCAGATCCCCTGTTTGTGAAAAGCCTTGAACATATTTACTTCTGCGTCCATTTTAAAAGTTTACTACACAAGGCTGTTGATATAAATATTATAAATTTTGCACTAAAACATCAACCAAGGTCACCAACATAATAAGAAGCTGTAATTGACTTGTGCAAGGGCCAGAGAAGTCACCTAAAAATATTTGTAATGGTTTATGAAGTCCCTGTCTGCCTTTGTTAAAGATTCGTGGTCTTCCAAAAATGTGACATAATCTGGGACTTGTTTATATCAAAATTTTAAGTTTTACCTTGATTCAAAGTTACGAGGGTCGCTCATTAAGTAATGCCCCACATTTTTTTTCTCAGCCAATAATGAAGATAGAAAAGTGTACTTTTACATGCTTGAGATTTGATGTTTCCCGCGTTCGTGTACGGAGTTTCAAATGATTCCAACCGATAGCGGAGCTGTAGTGAACTGTTAAAATGGCGTCTGTGAACGACTCTCGGTACAAGCAACGAGCTGTAATTGAATTCCTTGTTGCTGAAAAAGAAACGGTGGTGAACATTCATAAACGTTGGTGTGCTGTGTATGGAAGCTGTGCAGTCGATAGGAGCACCGTTGGTCGCGGGGCTAAGAGAGTTAAAGCTTCAGGAAGTGAAGAAACCGAGCTCCCTCCGCCGGAAAAGTCATGATGACTGTCTTTTGGGACAGTGATGGGGTCATTCTTGTGGATGTGATGCCAAGAGGTGCGACCATCAATTCAGACGCGTACATCAGGACCCTGAAAACCCTCAAGAAGCGTTTTCGACGAGTTCGGCCTCACAAGCATCCAGCAGAAATTTTGCTCCTGCACGACAATGCACGCCCTCACACAAGTCTGAGAACCCGGGAAGAAATCACCAAATTGGGTTGGACGGTGCTACCCCATCCACCCTACAGTCCAGATCTGGCACCCTCCGACTTCCATCTCTTTGGGCCCCTTAAAGATGCTATCCGCGGAACAAGATTTGAAGATGACGAGAGCGTGATTCAAGCAGTGAGGACATGGCTACGGGGACAGGACAAGAGCTGGTACCGGCAAGGCATGCATGCCCTTGTTCCACGCTGGCGTAAAACCGTACAAGTTGATGGGGACTATGTGGAAAAATAGTATGTGTAAAGGAAACATTGATTTATATTGTCACTAAATTTGAGCCATCTTGAATAAATATGTTCTGAGGAAAAAAATGTGGGGCATTACTTAATGAGCGACCCTCGTACATTTCATTGGTTCTTGCAGATATGTGGTACATTCTTTAATTGTTCATTTTTTGTTTTCAAAAATTATCAGTATTCTGTGATTCATTTTTTTATTTTTGTGAATATGTGGATTGTTCATAAGTACTTTGTAAAATATCACATGCATTTGAATGACTTGCCCCTTTACCAAAAGCAAAATATTAATTTTATTGACATCTACAGTATGTTAACTTATATGATTTTGCATCCATTGTTCTGTATTTGCTCTTATAAATTCTTTGAAGGAAGTAATATATTTGATCTTTAATAACTGTTTAATTTAAAGATAGGAAACTTGAGCTTCCTGGTCTGAGTTTTTAGTAACAAATATAATATGAGCATCCAAATTTAATTTCTTTTTATAGTAATACATGTGTCATCATTTGAGAGCAAATGGTTTCTGCTGACAAATTTCGCAGTCGACAGAACATATACTAAAAGGACACAGTAAAGATGTCAGGCCATTTGTTTCAGATAATGGTTCACTTTGTGTGGTGCCAGAATCTCAGTTGTTGGTCTGTACAAATGATGGATCCATTCACTTCTGATTGGTGGGCATCAGTTGGTACTTTGCCACCCGTTGGACCTCCTAATCCTGAACCCACAGTTGACCAACGTTGCAGTTGAGTGGTTAGCATTCCTATTTCTTATGTGGGAGGTCGTTGGTTCAAATCCTGACCCAGAGACCAGCTATCCTAAATGAGGTTTTCTTTGGTTTTCCTCAGTTTCTGAAAACATATACTGGGATAATGCTATGATATTAGGCCATGGCTGCTTCCTTCCACATCCTTTCCCATTATTTATTCACTAATTAACTTTTCTTTCAATGCTTATAATCTTGAGCTATTGAAAGTGTCATTAGTAAACATAAAAAAGACCCAACGTATTCTAGTATTAAATACATTTTCTTTCGCCTTTTTTCCACTGGTGGGAATACGTAGAATTTTGGATGAGATAATGTGTCTTTTTCTACAGATCGTGGTGTTGTGTATGGTTGTGGAGACAACAAATTTGGACAGTGTGGTGTTGGGAATCAGAGCCCAACCATTCTTACTGCTACACTGGTAAGTGAGCTTTGTTGCTTTCCAACATATTTGAAGTAGAACAATCAATGAAATGAGGAACTGGTGCCACAGAATTTTTGTTTCAGATTTTTAATGCTAATTATGAAATAATGTTAAAAGATTTGCTGTCAAATTTTAGAAATATGTGAAAGTGACTTCTTGGTTTTATGCATTGTGAAAGAACCTCAAGCAGACTTGTATTGTGTGGCCAGTTTGGACTTGGTGTTGAAGAGAAATATTCTTCGTCCTCATCCTTGCTTCCCAGAATTAATTTTGTGAGCTTCAGCGTGTTCTGTGGAGAGATGTAGGGACAGAAGAAGTTTATAAATTTATCGCTTCATGTTATGTGAGAGGAATGAGATTGTTTATGAAAATAGATCAAATGGAAGACACAGTTGGAAGGATAAAGGTTGATATTGAAATGGAATTTTGATGTACAGCATGTGGGTGGTGAACTGGATTGAAGTGGCGGAGGGTATTGTAATAATGTGAGTGGTTGACTGGTCTCAGTTTTGTGAAGTATAGTTTGTTTCTTTTGTTGTTGTTTTTTTATATTTTTCTGGGTTGTGTATACCCCTTGCCTTTACTTACATGGTTACTGTATGTCCAGATTAGCTACAAAGGCCCTCCCATTGTGAAACTGGGCTGCGGGGCAGAGTTCAGTATGATCCTCGACTGCAAGGGGGCATTGCATTCGTTTGGCTTGCCTGAATATGGACAGCTTGGTAAGTTATTATACTCTGATAGTACCCTGTTCTTGATGACATTTCAACATGGTGCTATGGACCGAAGTGGCTTGAACTATGAGAAGACATAGCAGAATTTTACAGGAAACACATTGTCGTAGTTATGATAGAACAAATATGAACGTCATTGTGTTTGTTGCACATTCATGTTCTGATATATGTGAATCATAGTTATTTCCTCTTGGCAGAATGTTGACGATAAATATGTTGTGACACCCCTGTTATTATACATTATGCCACATATATGAAACAACCAAAACATCATTTATTCATTAACACAGTGCATTATGAAATAATTTAAATCCAGTCAAAAAATAAGTTAATGTGGGATTTGACACTCTTTTTGTGAGGGTAGCTTGTGATCTAAGTTTCTGCACTGGATACTTACGGGAATGCTGTTTCTTCAAGACCTACTGGTATACAGTTCGCATTAAGCTGTACATTTCTGCTGGCAATTACCATATTCGTCATTTAGAGTAAATAGAATGCCAAGATACAAGTTTGCCAGGTGGACAAAAGCTAAGAAGGACGTTGGAAAGAAAACCACTGTTCCAGAATTCTTCCTGCAGGAGTCAGAAGAACTGTGATGCTGGACAACATATGCCTTTGTTGTAGTGGTAGGGCATGGACAAGAAGTTAGTTATTTAGTTTGTTTTTTTAAAGTGGGGGTGTAGATGAGTAGTCCCTTAATGCTCACTGTATCTGTACCATTATAATCATTTTATATTATTTTTTATGTTGCTTTTGTGATGGCTATTTATAGTCATTGGTTTGAAATGCTTATCTGTTTATGTATCACTTGGTTTAGTGTACTGATCAAGATGGTGGTGGCACGAAATTGATTGGTATTATTAGCCAAGTTTATCTTTTCAGGTCACAATACAGATGGGAAATACTTCATTACATGCAATAAACTTGGTTTCCACTGTGAAACAGCTCCAAAACGCATTGTTTTCTTCATTGAGAAGGCAAAAGACGGCCATATTACCCCAGTGGAGGTGGTGGAGATTATTGATTTCTCCTGTGGATCGAACCACACAGTTAGTACACCCTCTTTGTGGTATGTTTATAATGTTTGATATTTCATTAAATGTGCAAAACTAGCAGCCAAGGCAAGAAGCTTGCAGTCCGTGTTCATTACCTCCACGTTTCGTAATATTCCTGTTACATCAATCAACTGTTGGCATTTTGTGGTGTTTATGTCACTATTTTTACATGTTCTTTGTTCACCCTTGCATTTTGCACTGCTGTTTTGTAGTAACATGGTTTGGGTTTTTGTTTTTCTTCAATAATTGTGCACTAATTTTATGTGTAACAGCAATATTTGTGATGCTTTGCTAATGTTGCTTTCTTGGTAAGCTTATTTTTGTAACGTTGTCTATCTGAAATGTATTGAAGTGCAGTCGTGTAATTAGTTAAAGCAGTGGAACACGTTAACTCTTTTAAATATAAAAAGACAAAAATTATTATTTCATGACTTTTAACACTGTATTAAAAAATAATATTTGCATCTGATTTTTTAAAACATAAATCACTGTTTTTTGTTTTAATTATCTCAACATCACATTCTCCTGTATAGCTCCAATCCACTGACAAATACGTTTACCATCTATACTCAGAATAGGTGTGCAGAAAGTAAACTACTTAAAATAACTTTTTAGGTAATTACAGATGTCATTCTCTAACGCCTATTCATTGATTTTAATCTCTGTCTTCAGGTTGCGGTAGACTCTCACAAGAGAGTGTTCTCTTGGGGCTGGGGAGGTCTTGGTCGCCTCGGTCATGCAGAACAGAAGGATGAAATGATTCCACGACTGATAAAATTCTTTGACACTCAGTCACGGGGAGTCAAGTCTGTGCATTGTGGTAGTTCATTCAGCCTAGCGATAAATGAACTAGGTAATCTAAGTCAAGAACTTGAATTTGTAGAATAACTGGTATGGTTCTTTTCAGTTCTTTCAAAATAATACGATGATAGTACCTTGAATATTGCCTTCTTAGCTTCTCATTTCATCCACCTGCATTCATCTTTCATAATCAATCATATTCAGTACAGGTAGCCCTCGATTTACACCGGGGATGCGTTCCTGGACTCACCGGCGTAAATTGAAACTCTTTTATAATGTAAATCAATGGGAAGTCAATGACATGTGTTCCCAGCACCCAAACATTGACAAGTAATATAATGGCATTACATTGAAAGCTCTGAAAAAACATAAATAAAATAAAGGGAATTTAAAAAATATATTTTATACACTTACAATCGGCAATTTGTTGGTCCCCGCAATTGACTGCGATTCTTATATGTGATTGATGTGTACATTCATCTCTGCTGTTATGCGATAGTTGCATTCATGTAAGACACCGACCTATAGAAAATCGCATAGTAAAAATAACCCCGGTACCTCCGCAGAGATTAAATTAGTCCTTTGAAAGTTTAAAGCGCCGCGAATGAAACTGCATAAGAGCAAACTCACATATGCAAAAGTTTGCATTTCACAAACAGCTTTTACTGATTCATTGATCTCATTGGAGCATTTTCTCATCAACGAAACATACTTAATTGCAGAGATGACTATTTATAATTTTTATTCAAAATCAGCAATGTAAGAATTACGATTTAGTGTAAGAATCAGTACGAGATACATTGTGAAACGTTATAAATAATAGTAAAATATATTTTTTTCACTTTTTGACTTGCTGGTTTAAAAATCGGCGCAAATCGAGGGCTACCTGTGCTGTACTTGTCTTTAGTTCAGTCAGTCAAACATTTGATGTGCTTTCTTAATATTGCAGGTGCTGTGTACTTATTTGGTCAGACGAAACGTACCGGTGAGGCCAACATGTATCCCAAGCCTATCCAGGACCTGGCGGGATGGGCAGTTCGCAGTGTGGGGTGTGGTTTCACCAGCATCGTGATGGCAGCTGATGACAGTGTCATCGCTTGGGGACCCAGCCCTACATGTGGTGAACTGGTATGCTAATCTCAGTGATTGTTAGAACATATATTTGTAGGACAATTTGGGCGTGCCCATGAAATGGTTAGAAGACTGCAGAATTTAAAAGTGATGCTATAAGTGTAAAATGAAGCCAAGATTTTGTTGGATGGATCAAGGGAGGAAATTATTGAAATAAGTTTTGTGTATCTTTGTGCAGATAGATGCAGGAGGGAAGTTTTTTGTTATTAAACTTGTATTTGGACCATGCTGTCAAGGTTGGTTGCTCCCAGTACTACCGGATATGTAAAGGTTTCTCACAAGCATTTGTTTTTGTTTCATTTATTGTTTTATCATTGTTGCTCTTCGTCTGTATCATTTTTGTCAGCTCTGTTGTCTTGATTTTGTCACATCTTTATGCTCGGCACTTGCAGACATGTGACAGCATTATCTTTGTATGATTATTATTTTCATTACTTAACAAGACCACCAAGGATTATTGACCACTGCCTCATGTGCATTGATAGTTTCTGTCTTTATGGTGCTGTCTTGTGGTTTTCAGAGGACACTCCAATATGTGAATATCCAAGGAGAACTCTCAGAAATGAAGGTTACATGCATCCTTTTCACCCTCTGCAAGGTCTAGGTCTCTGTTGTGTTACAGTGATGTGATGGTTGGGTGCTAGCAGTGCAGTACAGTGCAGTATGAAGTTAATCACAAATCCCTTGAAACCTGTGGATGTAGGTCTTTTATACTGTTGAGGATCATAAAGTGGTACTTTCCAGAGGTATATGACCTGCTGTTAGTTAAGGCCCCACAGTAATTTCACGGTCAATGTAAATTTTTATTTAAATTTTGAAGCTAGACAGATTTGTCTTGTTACTAGCTGTCAAATTATGTGTCTTTATATTCAAGCTGCTTGTACTGTTGAACTCTCACTTTGTGTGGATGTTGAATTTTTTAAATCAAATCTGTAATGTAGCTTCTGTCATAATCACTCTGCCATTGACTATGTGGTATAATCATGGGAGATTAGACACACTGTCATCAAAACAGCTTACCGTTTTTATTTCTTGACCTATAGAATCTGCTGTCTTTTTTTATCACTTTATTAATGTCATGGTGCAGGAGAATGATGTTACTGAGGACTCCGTCCTTAAGCGTTGTGTTATTTTCTTTTGTACCTCAAATGAGTAGGAGCTATCTATGCTATGCTGCCTCCATCATCAGGGTGATGACAGAGGCAGCATTGACCTCTGCAATGTTGGTGGACATCTACCAGACACAATCTTTAGTTTTCTCTCAGTTCATACCTCAAATGATAGGTATCACATATGTGGTCCTAGAAATGGCTTTTGAATAGATTCCAGAGTTATAGAAATTTATACAGACACAGTACTTGTTTGTTACAGTATTGGCAAAAAATAATCTTGCCATCTGTTGTTATAGTAGGGATTGTCAGATCAGACAGACGACTTTTTAATGTACAGGCATACCTCGTTTTATTGCGTTTCGCAGATATTGCGTTTTTTACAAATTCAAGGTTTGTGGCAACCCTGCGTCTAGCAAGTCTATCAGCGCCATTTTTCCAACAGCATGTGTTCACTTCGTGTGTGTCTGTCACATTCTGGTAATTCTCGCATTGTTTTTTAGACATAATGCTATTGCACACTTAGTAGACTACAGTATAGTGTAAACATAACTTTTATATGCACTGGGAAACCAAAATTGTGTGACTCACTTTATTGCGGTGGTTTGGAACCGAACCTGCAATATCTCTGAGGTATGCCTGTATTTACTTTTGGCACCATACAAAATTGATCGGAGAAAGAAAGCACTTTTAAATTTAACTCACTTTACTGCAACTTAGAGCATGATGCAAAACTAAGTACAAAATTACAAGACTAGAAGGGAACTTATGATGATTGTCACACAGCTGCAAATGTAACTTCAGATGTTTGTTGATATATTGGTTAATAATGTGCTATGTGACTCTGGAAGCACAGATTAGGGCACTGTTTGTTCATGCTTTTAAAGATACACTAATCCTCCACACTTTATCAGCAAAGTAAAATATACTGTTCATAAATCTGTTCTTTGACTGTTGTGCTGTATAAATGTAATACTGCTTTCCAGAGAAAGAGATATGAACAGTTTGACACATATAGGGCCAGATTCATCAAGTAATTGCTTTCAGATTTTAAGTAGTATTCCGCATGAAATGTAATATACAGAAAAGCACACAAAATCTAAAAATAAGTATGTACAGGCAACAAAACATTAAACTAGACATTTATCTCAAAATACCCATTTTAAGGCAATATAATGTCATGACTATAGAGGGAGAAGTCTTCCAAATACAGCCTATAATGTGTTGAATTTTTGAATTTCTTTTAAAAAGTATGTAAATGTCATAAAAAACAACATTTTTCTGCTCACCACTGCGCCCAAGGTTCACGTGTTCGAAACCGGCCAAGGTCGATGGATTTTTAAGGGTGATAAAAATCCATAACACTACTTCCTCCGGAGGAGAAATAAAGCCGGCGGTCCCTTGTCGCAAACTTACTGCATGTAAAAGAACCTTGCGAGATGTTTTGTAAGCAAAATTCAGCGGCCATTTCTCACCCAAGTCTCCTGATTCACTACTAGATGGCTCTAGCAGACAAATTAGGACTGAGTAGAAATTATGCAGAGGCAGTGGGATTGTCACTCACTACTCACAAATGCAGACTTCAAAGACAAAGAAACCTCCCACATGGGAGGAGGCCAAAGCTTGACTTCGGGCTGTTGCGCCACAGAGTCAGTCAGATATAGAAGGATTGTGTATCTTGAGGATTCTTGCTTAATGAAAGTCTTAACATTATCTGTGTTTTATGTCTTTCCAGGGTTTTGGTGAACTACACAAATCATCAACAACTCCCATGGAAGTGAAAGCACTTGAAGGTATTTACATATTACAGGTCTCTTGTGGTTTAGGACACACCTTGCTCATAGCCAGAGACGAGTCACAGCAGGACAAAGCCAGACTGATGAAACTGCCAGAATTCATGCCGTGAGAGATGTCATCTCAGCATGGTATACTGTATACAGGCAACCTCTGCCATTTGTGGGTTATTTTAGCCTTTATGAGTGACAGGAATGAGACATTCATGTAGAGATAAGGATTTATGGTTTATGTGAAAGTGGAAGTGTAGAAGGGTGAACTTTGTGTATGGTTAGATGTTTTGAACATGCCTTTAATTTAACAGTGAATTGCAATATTTACCTGAATATAAATATATTTATGGTTTGATGAAGGTGCCAATTTGTATGGACTTTATCTACTTTGTATGAATCTTACAAGGATCTGAAGAGGAATGCAAAGTTTCACTTTCTTGTCAGTTTCCTTACTCACTGATTCATGATTATGGCCTTAGATAATTTTAATTTAACTAAGTATAGGTGTAATGTGTTTGTAACAAACAGAATGTGTCTGTAGATTTTTCATTGGTTTTAACATGGAGTATTATAAGCCAAGCACAGGGGCTTGTTCCATTCTTAACACATTCAGTGCCGGGAATTTAAATTTTGGCCTTGCTTTAATCATGGGGTTTTGCAGTTTCTGAAGAAGATTTTTTTTTTTTTTTGGAAAATTAAAAAAGTTAAATTTTCACGTTACCTTTAATAGGCTTTGAGGGCATGGTACTCTGTGTAGGACCCCACCTGTTACAGGGGAACTCTACACAGAGCATACAACAGTTTCTCTGAGACATGCAATATCTTGTTTGGTAGTGGCAGTTTCAATGAGTTTGTAGGTCTTCAATTTCCTGAAGATTGCTGTCTTCTGGGTTGTGCGCCACGTAGTCTGGCAGACATCTACAGACTACGTGGCACAACAACCCAGAAGACAGGAATCTTCAGACTCACCACCATGAAAACCTCAAATCCTACTTCATTTTCCTACACAGTCTTCATTTTGGATCGTACTTGGTGTCTGTTTCAGTAGTATTAGAGTGTATTACTAATGAGCAGAGTCCATGTCATGTAAATGGTATTTATAATTAGTGACTTAACTTTGGCTTTACCATTGATGTCCTGCTCTGTTGCTCAAGTCATTTCTAGTTTCTGCCATGTGAAGAATTTATATCATCACCACCACTTATCCTTCATAATAACATGTGAAAAAGAAATACCAGAACAGATATCTAAATGACTCTTCAAGCTGCCTAAATTCATTGATGATAATTATCTTTCACTATCATATCCACATTATAAGGAGTGATGCTCATAATCATTTGTCATTGCTGGCATTGAATGTGTTATACTATCTGTAAGGCATCCTCCCAGACAGGCGAAAGTATACTTTATCAGGTATGACAGTTATAAATGCCATTCAGTATTGGTACATTTTAGTATTTATACATTATATACTTTGTATTATGCAGTTTTATAATTTTGTTTAGTATAAGATACTAAATTCTTAAATAAAGATATCAAAAAGTATGTGAGGAGAACCAATACATATTTTCCTGATATATAAATTGGTGTATGGTTAAATTATTTGGAATGTTACTATCTTAAAGGTAATTCCTGTCAGTGCATTTCTTTTGAAATTGAAGTCAGCTGTATTACTAGTGGTTGCTGGTCTTCGTTTCATGACAGAAGTTAGAAGGCCCTGAAAGTCTATAGTATTGTAAGAGTTAGTAGTAATTAAACTATGGTTTCTTTGCCCTTAAAATATGGATTTATTATACTCATTATTATTATTATTATTGTAATTAATTATTTTCTTGCTTGGAGTTCTGTTGGTTTACGTGTCACAGTCTTAACTTATTCTGACACTTGTATTATTAACTGTTCTCTTCTCATTTGAGCCCGAGTCCAGCCACTGCTACCGCTCTCTTCATCACAGTTGGACATTGTATGCGCCTTCCTCGTTGCTCATAACGTTTGACTCCCACTGGACTTGTACGTAACTGACTGTCCAACTCAACTTGTTCTATTTATGTAGAGGTCGCAATGGCCAGAGAAGTGTCCAGCTCAGTAGAGAATGTCCGTGATCTATTCATGTGTTTTGGGAGAATCACAGAATGACATCGATAAAGTTTGGGATGCGTGTGCAACTTGGCTGTTAGAAGGAGCTGGAAGCTCTGGTTGTTTCGTCATGGCCAGGTGGCCATTTGCAACAGTATGATGGGGTGACATGTAGGAGCATGGATTTGTTTAATTTGTTATGCCTTCATAACAAGTTGCTGATGGAAAGGTGTTCAGAAGTTAGATTCTGTTTTGGTTGCGTAAGCTTTCCATATACTCCGATTTAATTTGTTTTGTTTTTAATATGATTTTTATCAGCATTTTTATATTTTTTTTAATATTATCTTCAGTTTGTCCAGCTGCTGTTCACTTGACTCAGCTTTGGCTGAAAGGTTTTTAAAAACATTGATACATGACATGTTGATTAAAATTTGATTTTGATCGGTGTTACTAGTTCATGACAGTGAACGTTTTGAATTGCCTCTTTCAATTCTTCACTATTTTTTTCACATTTAGGTAAAATTTTGTAATTAATGCTACCAATAAAATTGTTCTGTGCAGCATCAGTATATCAGTGCTGATGAGAGAGGAAGATGAATGTGCCGTTGTCACAAAACGTGCATGTTTTTTTTACATTATGTGCTAATACAGTGAGTTTTTTGTGACTACAGACTCTGGCAGAAGAGATGGACATTCCTATAAGAGTGGACCAGCCCATAATGTGTAAGTTTGCTTCATGTCTGTGCTGCCTATAAAATTCACTCTAGTTGTCATGTTTTCATGTTACTAGATTGTAATGTATTAAATTGCATGATGAGAGATAGTTTTCTGGCCAGGAATTTAAAGTCACATATGTAAGATGTTATTTATTGCCTTTTGTGACTACTGGTTTTGTCAGCAAGTTAATACACTAGGATGTGACAGCCACTGCCTCAAAATAGTTCTTAATATTGCAAAAAATGTATAATATTTTTTCATTGAGTTCTACAGATTGTATCTGAAACCTCATTTGATGTAATAAATATTAAAAATTAATTTGGCAAGTTAATAAAATTATAATTCTAGTTGGCTAATATTTTAGTTGGATAAGGCATAGTTGTCCCTGTGTCTAAGCACCATACCGTGAAGGTCAGACAGCAGATGGCCCAAGTAATTACTGGAATGGATGTCACCATGATTGAAGAACAAAGACCAAAGGTTAGGTGGCTGAAAGGAATCCATGATGCAGTGGCAGAGAGAGAGAGATAAGAATGGTAACTGGGAATTCGAGGACCTCAGTGATGTAAAGAAACTGGCACAGACCCTTTACCTATCAGAAAGAATCCCTTGTATCTGCTGGAAAGGCGACTGGATGGGACACTTCAGTGAAGAAAAATCTAACCCTGTTGAGAATTAAACTGTGGTAACTTAGCCCTTGGTTGGCACATCTTACAACTATAACATGTGCCATAATTAAGTGTAACTGATAAATTTTATTAAGGGCAGCCAGTATTAAATTGCCCAAGAATCCATGTAGTCAAAATGAAATAATTTCATGTATACATATTTAAAGAGTCATATGCACAGTTACAGATCTTTAAACTTGAATGTAATAAAGTTTAGCATCTGAAGTCTGTCACTACTGTAGTACATGATACACCTTTTCATCACATGAAGCATGAAAACTGGTATGTATTATCATGACCATTGAAAATCTGTTTTTAAATTACAATACATAAAAAATAAAAAAACTTTGCCTTCCAGACAGATCTGATATGTAATATCTTCTAAATTGGCAAGCAAATATTCATCTCATCTTGGAGTTTCCAGTTTTTGTAAATTCTTTTACTTTATAATAACTGTCAATCATTCCATTTCCCTTTCTTAAAACTCTTTCCTTCTACTCATGTAAATTATTTTAATTTCTCTGTAATTGTTCCCCCCTTTCACAAGGCATTTAGTGTCCATTTTGTTAGTCGTTTTGGCCATCTGTGTTCTGAGATTCTGTTTATACTTATTGCAACCTTTTATTTTATTCCCTCAGTACAAATGTAATTTATTCTTTAAACTGAACATTCCTCAAAGCTGGCTAATATGTCTTGTTGCTGTACTTTTCTTTAATTATTTAGATTTTAAAATTAAGATACTTCTCCGCTAATTCATACATGTAAATAAATTTTACCCTGTTAATTTCAGATTGATTGCACTAACAAAAGAACAAGAATTGAGTGTCAGAACTGCATGGAATATTGTACTCATAGGAACATCCTGGCTGTTGAAATAAAGATAATTCTATGTTGCAGAAATATACAGTACAGTGCAGACTGTAATCAGTCTATGAAGAATACGTTTAATTTTTTTTATTTAATTCTATGAAGGTCTTATTATAAACTATGCCTTGCTGTAGTAGATAAATTTTAGGTGTAATGTCAGTTGATGGTGAAGACCTCCATGAATTACTTGGTTTCACATATTACCTAAGTAAAGCCGTCCCACTAAACGCTGAAGTGCCCACTATACACCATATAGGCGCTTGAGGGGGAGAGGTGGTATAGATGGGGGGTGAGTGGTCAGCATCACGCCCAGCCATGCTTTACTCCCGGGAAAGGACCCCGGTACCCATTGTAGAGGAGGCTGATTGGACCCCAGAGGCTAGAGGAAAAATCCTGTCCACATGGGTTAATATGAACATATGTTCCTCAGATTCACCCTTGGTGATGCACGTGTTATTGCAAGAAATTCAGTTAATTGAAGTCAGAGCAAAACTCCATTAAAATCTAATGTTTTAATTGAAATAAAAAGGAAACATTAGTATCTTTTTATTTTCACATGTATAATGATTTCAATATAGTATGAGCATTTTAAGTTATTGTGAAATAAATTTAAATTAGCAGGCTTATTGACTAGTATTATATTATTCAACCAATGTGTTACTAAGTGCATTTAAATTATTTAATATGTATTTGCTTTAAGGTGTTTATATAATGGAGTACCAAATGATGAGGAATGTGGATTTATCTAGCTTTCTTTTTCTTTAATGTAAACATTGTATGAGTGTTTTACATGATGACTTGTGTTGATTGATTGATTTGGTGGAGTCTGATTACTAAACTTTATTGTCTTTCATCTATGAAGGTAAAAATTACCATATTTATACCATTTTAGTTGTGTTTTTAATTGAGAAGAAAAATATCATAGAGGTTTTTAGTCTTTGCAACCACAATACAGACTATTTCATGCCCAGGACTCTATTAACATTCATCAGTATAGAAAGGACTGAACTACCTCATTTAGATAGAATATTTGTGTCAACTTTAAATGTCCAACAGTGTTCAGAAGTCACACAAGTTAAATAAAATTTTGGAAAATTTCAGTTTCTTTTATGTAGTTCAGGATTGTCAACATTCCCTGTAGTTCCTTTTGTTGAACCTGAAGGCACAGAACTGTCAATGGACCCTATCCTGGATAGTTTAGTCCAGTCTATTTTCCTCATTTCCTTTCCAGGAGGTTCCCCTCAGAAATTATATTTCACTTCCTCCTGCAAATCAACATGTACCATTTTGATTATATCTCCCTCCAGAGCTGGAAGGTATCTGTCAATATATATAAGGAATCAAACAGCAAACAAGGGAGTGTTCTTCAAACTTGGGGAGTTGGACACTGGATTAACAAAACTTTACCCTAAAGACCTATAAAGTAAGTACATTGTAGTTATCATTTAAAAAATGGAGAGAGAATATTTTTCCATGGAACTAGTAGTAGTTTTGAAATTCATAGAGTATCTGATCTTTAGTATATTTTTATTTATCCTCTTTAAAAATATGTCTGTTCTGGTACCACACCCTTTTTTAATCAAACAAGTTGAAAACAGTCCTATGGACACAACATTAATGCTATCACAGCATGTACCTTTCTGTATAGTTGAATTGCTGTCTCATCAGGATTTCTTTTATCCCTAGGGAAAATAAATAGCCAGGGGAAGGCTTTAGTAGGATAATAATGGAAAACAGAATCTGCAGAGACTGACGGATAGGAAACTGGGTACCGCACCATGACAGCGCCCCAGTGCACCAGTCATCTCTTTCCAAAGAGTCATAAACATTGGCATTGCCCTGATGATGGAGGCAGCATGGATCTCTGAAACAGTGGACATCTACCAGACTACACGGTGCAACAACCTAGAAGACAGCATTCTGACACTGTTTTGACTTTAAAAAAGAATGAGAGACGCTTTATTCTATTAAACTTTATTGAACAATGTTTTTTGCAATATGTTTGTCTTGCCTTTTTCTTTCTCATGATAATTTTGGGTGTCTGCTATTCAGAAACAATAAGTTCTGTTATGATAGATGATAAACCTTGCAGGTCATTGAGAGGGATGCCAGTTCGTTGATGCAGTTTGATAATGACATTTTTGCTGTTTGCTTCTGAGATATCAGCAGCGCACACTATGACTGCACATGCCAAGTATATATTGTCACACTCCACAGCCAGGAACTCCTGCCTGTAACATGTGTTTTTAAAGTATGTACTGCACTTCATGAAGCATGATGAAATGAGAACAGATGTGCATAGTTAATTTAGCAAATTTGTTGTTCTGTAGTGTAGCATCCTAGTGTGTTGATATTAAATTGAGAGAAATTTTTTGTAGACTGCAGCTTGTCTTAATGAAGAAAATAAAATAATATCATGGCTTAGGCCATTAAGCCAGTTCCTTATCCAGGTTTAATATTGGTGCTTTCGTAATTTCTTTCTTCATTAAAATTTTCATATTTGTGTCAGCTTTTATTGTATTATTCTGTCTGCTGAATGGAAAGAAAATATTTTCTGTGGTCCAGAAAGGATCTTAAATTAAATCGTAACTTCTGTCACATATTTTCTTAACTTATCACTCATTAAACTTGTAATTTATTTGACAGTACATAACAAATGATGTAATCAGAACATCATTAGATAAATCAAGAGCCAAAATTGTGAATTATTAGCTAATGTTACTATATCCAAAATATATGATTTCTTGGCTGCAAGATTAGAGAAAAATTACTTTGTTAAGATACAAGTTTATTCAGTTAATATTTCTGTAAGGAAAGAGGGCAGTACTGTGATCTGTTAACAAAGGGATTTGGGGGGGTGAGGTATAAAATAATGAAATTATATTAAAATGGATTTTATCCTTATTTCAGCTTCTGTTATTCCTGCATTTTTAAAACATATTTGTATTTTATTTCTCTCTTTCTTTTTACATGTTATGAAAATGTATTCCAGCACCAGCAAAAAGTTCCTAGGCATATATAAGATAAATGTGGAAAATGTGATTGGTCCAGTTCAGATTATCAGTAACATATAACCAATTCCATTGCAAGATGAAGAATTATTCTGCGTTCACGTACCTTTCTCTCGGTGTTCGTTCCCATCTGCCAGTAATTAAATGAAAGAGTTTCAAGTATATCTCATGATGCTGAATATAAGCCACATCCAGTACTTTAATGCTAGTGGAGTACAGTGAGTCTAAATCAATGTCGATTTGTGGATCTGACAACTGTTGTATTAGAAACTCAACATATGTCAAGGGGTGAGAAAATGGAATCTGTAAAAAAAGATCATCATGTCCCTTCTCATATTTTTGCAGTTACTTTGAAGGGGATGACACTAACAAGGGGTATTAAAAATTGAGAATAAATGGAGGAAACATGCCCTCATAATATTTGTTCACACAGGGCAAGCCTGAAGTAATTAAGGTGTTAAAAACAGAATTGTCTTGTTACAATAATTATAAAAGCATACAGATTGTTTTGATGTAATAGTACAATAATTATATATACAAGTAAACAGACTGAAACAGTCAGAAATTGTATTTAAAAAAATATCATGAGTTACAGACTACACTCAATTTTCAAGTGGTCTGTGTTTTAGATAAGCATTTCCATACAGTTCTTTTTATGAAGATCGTTGTCTTCTGTGTTATTTCGCCATGTAGTCTAGTAGAAGATTACTGACATTTGAGATGTCCTTGCTGCCTTCATCATCAGGTGATGGAGACAGCAAGTACCTAAAAATGTTTTTAAATTTCTACCAGACTTCATTTTACTACAACTCAGAAGACTGCCATCTTTGCTTTCAATGCTATGAGAACATGAAATCCTACTTATTTTTAGGTTGAAATTTTTCCTTCTATTTATACAAGCCCTTGAAGGAAACTGGATTTTGTTGGCCCAGGACAGGGTCCGGTGGAGGGCTTTGATTAATTCGGTGATGAACCTTCGGGTTCGGTAAGCCATCTAGTTAGTTAGTTAGTTATTTATACAAGCCCATAACAGTTAGTAGTTAACAGAAACTGAACAAGAAGAAATTTCATGAGAGATTTCTTTTAATTGTCTTGTCACAGCATTCTACATAAACAAGGCCAGTGTTTCTAAATGAGATATCTCATGGAAAATTGGTGAAGGAAATTCATTTTAGGGTTTTGTTGATTTGAAACATTTCTCTCGTTTAGCTTTCTGTAAACTTTCTATATTGAACATCCTAATTTGTCAAATTCGCACTATAAAATTTTCCATCACAAAAAAGGAGATACAAAACTATACATAGCCATAAATATGTGTCTACATATAAATCCTTGCCCTATAAGAATGCAGGCATATTAAAATAAAACATTACACATGTTGACTAAAACTATCGATGATGAACCTCCGTTTATATGAGTGTGTGTATGTATTATGAATTTTAATTATAAAATGTAAGATATTGCCTTTCTCTGACTATAGTATGTGAATATACAATTTATTATAAAAATTCATGGCAGTTCCTCAGTTTATGTTCTAAAATTATCATAAATATCCTTTCTATAATGAACAGGTTTTTGAAAGCCCTGGCTTCTTGTTTATGGCTCTATGGAGAAATAATTGCCTCTGGGCACACCTTTAGAGTAGGCCAGCAGAGGCATTAAATTTTCAGAATTCAGGTAAATTTGGAAGACAATGAATACTTTTCAAAATAGGATAGAAAAGCTGGATTTAACAGAAAAAATTGACAATGGCGCCTTTATCGACTCTTTTGTCAAGTTTATTACTGTTCATGAGTGACTTTGCTCACTTCTTGTGTATGAAAAATGTCATATGGATAAAAATATGTTTGTTCTGCAATTGTAATTTACAAATACTGGGGCTGTTGGCATATCTTGCTTCTTCTGGGAAACTTGTGTGAGCTTCTGAACCATCAAATTAACCATCACTGAAATTTGACCACACTTTCCTTCTTTATGTACTTGTACATACTTTTATTAATATGAATCTTTAATTTTACCTTGAACTGGATTGTTTCAAATACTCTTCTCTCTGATGATATGATACTTTGTTCGGTGAAATCCTGATTAGCATGCTTGAGGAAGTTCATAATTGCCACAGGGGTAAGGATCTGTTCAAATAAAATGATCACATCAATTCAAATTCACTTTGAAACAAGGCAGAATATTTTCAGAATTTTATAGTCATGCCTAAGAAGAACATTAGTGTATGCCATTTTAAGCTTTGATTTGGAGGAATATAAGCCATCCCTCTGACCTCTTGCCCAGAGAATAATATACAAATTGACCCATGCAATAGCAAACTGTCTTTCCTGAACTAGTTTTTCATTCCTTGAAATCATATTTTTCATAATTTTTCACCATGAAACACTACTATCTAAAGTTGTGTTCCTATAATCTAATTTAATACATGTATTATTCATTTATCTTCATCTTGATATATTAAGTGGCCTCAATACACAGTTTCCTTCCAAAATCTTCTGCTGATTTATTTTTTCACTCATGTGTACTACGTTCTCAGTTCATTTCATTCTCCTTGATTTAATTACAGTATCATATTCTATTAATACAGGTGATTCTAGTTATACATGATTTTAATTCAGAATCATAAAGACCATCGATATCCTATCCATGCCCACATTAGAAGTTGAATTTGAGGTTATTATGGCAGTGAGTACGAAGATGATTGTCTTCTGGGTTGTAGCACCACATAGTCTGGTAAAACTTTACCCAACAACCCAGAAGACAGAAATCTGTAACTTTAAGAGAGTTTCAGAGATCCTTGCTGATTCCACCAATACCCTGATGATGGAGGCAACAAGGATCTCTGAAATGTTGTTAAACTTCTACCAGACTACGCGGTGCTACAACCCAGAAGACAACCATCTTCACATTACAAGTTGCTGTGCAGGTCTACTAAGCTGTGCTTGCATTTTCACTGACATATCATCATTTTTATTACATGGATTACAAATTAAGGCTTCTTATGGTGTATCACTCAGAAAATTCGCGGACATGTTACACCTTTCCTGCTTTACACATTTTAAATATACACAAAAATTCACAGGACTGCAACCCCTGTATATAATGAATCTCCTGCAGCACAAATTATAATTCTGTCTTAATGAACTTTCTTCTGTTACTGAATAGTTATCTGTCTTAAAACCAAGTTTGATATCTGATAGGTGAAATAATACCTTTAAACGTTGATGCAAACGATGTGTACTTTTTAATGGAACTAACCTCAGAAGTATTAACAAGTTTAGAAGCAAGCTGCATACAGGTCAAAGCACGAAGGATCAGTTGGTGCTTCACTCTGTCAACAACACGATCCCACTGACGTTGTGAATTTTCAATACTGGCACCAGGCTTATTCCAGACATAAGCGTATAACTGCAGATATTGACAGGTCAAGAACCTGTTCAAGGGTTATAGAAATACTTTCACAAAGATTGTTGGTATTCATGAAGATTCACTTTTTGTATAATGATAAAATAATAAAATACAAGAACAAATCATGACATCCAATCCTTCTAGAGACAACTTACAAATACAACTCAGTTAACTAATCTGCTCAGTGTTTACTAATAATACTAATGTTGAAATGGAATCAGTAACTTTCTAGGTGTTTTTTTGGAAGATCACATTGTAGAATTTTAAATACTATTGTGGCTAAACAACTTAACATTTGAATATAACAAATAAATAAATTTGTAGACAAAATTATATAAACATTTTAACTACACTGTACTTGAAGTACATTAAATGGATAAGTCATATGACATACATCAAAGACTTCTAGCTTCTCAGACTAAATGTAAAAGTAGAAACGTCACTAACCGAGAAAGTAGACTACAGTATTGTAAACTGGCTTCAGAATAAATTCAGTGGTATGTTGTGTTTCAAAAGGGAGGCCAAAGCCCATCCGGGCTGTAGCACCAAGGAAAAAGAAGAGAAGCTATATTTCAAAAGATGTACATAATTACCATAAATTCAAAACTACAGCACCTGTCAAAGATTTCAATGGTGAGGTACCGTACTTCAGGAGGCTGATGAAGAATCTCAGAAATTAAAAATATCAGTTGAATAACTTGAGGTGTTAAAATAAACCAAGGAGTTACATTCTTTAAAATCCTTTCCTTATAAGACTGCTTGTTATGCAGTTGTAATTGTTTCCACCAATTTTCTTGGTACAAATCTGAAATATTAGAGAATAAAATATATAAAAATTTAAAAATCTTTTTTCAAATTTTTTGCCTGTCTTCGTTTCCCAAGAAATTAGCTTAAGCTGTGATCAAAATTTCTTAGAGCCGCAGAGGAATTATTAAATAAATTATATTAATCTATTATTTTTGTGTGCATTTTGTTTTAACATTTAAATAATTTGAAATTGTGAAGAATTATGCACTGAGATTGAGCACTAGTGTGTATCTTCATGCATGTAAGCTTATTTCATTATATGTTAGTAACACATATTACAGGGCAATAAAACCCATGTTTTGTTGACAACTGTTTCTGACTTCATTCCATTTGTGAGGAAGTTGGTGCTTTATTTGAATGATTGTAGTAACAATCCAGGAAACAGCCATCTTCAATTGTTTGTTTATGGAATAATGTTTATAATGATAGAAAATAAATCCCACCTTGCCCATTTGTTAAAACCTAGAACATGTAGATATGTGGAAACAACACAAGCGGAAGTCAAACTGAATAATGCTCTGGAAAATCTTGACCAAACACAACATGCTAGTGGTTTGTATCCATCTTATTCAGAAAATTGTTGACCTAATGACTTTCTCTATTCACATTATTGGAAAATACCCAAAAAGAAAGAATGTTTCAGAATGTGCCACACATTCAAAGGAGAATGTGGGAACTGAACAACATTCCTAAAAAAAGAATATAATAAGTGCTTCTACATGCAGAAGAACTGATTAAATCATAATATTCAGTCAGGAAAAAGTCTAGTTTGAAGGCATTTGATGAAGAAACATCAATTTTAATTTATTTAAACAAAATGGTCTCACATTTTGTGATATGGACACACATCAAAATATAGTTATTTAATTTTTAAAAAATAGCATCTACATACTGCAGATGAGAAAATATCAAGCATGGTATTTAAAGGTTAAAGGACAAATTTATAGATTATTGTGACATAAACTGGCATTGTAAGGGCTTGAAGCCATCAGAAAATTTCCAGCTCACTTGTTATTGGGTTGTCATTGTTCCTCAACATCAATCATTTGTCTCTCCAGATATTTGGACTACTTTTACTTATATAGAAATTTTCTAAGAGACACTCAAAAGAAAATTAGCGTTATTTTTAATTACACAGAAAAATATTATTTTCTTGAAGCCTGAAATTAAGATGCAATATAATGGCAACAGTCAGTTAATGAGCCACTCAGTGAGTAATCATTGATATTCAAATATTTCAAAAGAGACTCAAAACACTGTTTCATGCATCTTACGTCAAAGTGCATAAGCTGGAAATAAAATTTATATCATAACTAATGATCTTACATATGCTGTGTTTCACATCTGTTATAGTCCAATAAAAGAAAGTCTAATTAAAATAGAAGATATAATGCTAAAATGCACAATGTAACATTATATTAATAGCATTACAGCACAACAAATAAGACACTGTTTGAACTATCACTTCTTTATACATTTTCATACCCACAATTTTATGATTCCAGTTTTTCTTGTACTGTGAACCTAGAGCTGATGTCATAGTGTGTTATTGCATTACAAATTGCTGGCCGCAAAATTATTGATTCGTTATGAAAATAGAAGCTTCATGATAGTTCAAATGACGCGCCATATACAGGGGTACACAACGTGGTAATTCTTGCACTTCGTTTCCCACTTTGTGGGTAAAAATAGTTTCATTTCCATCTCTGGCAATCATGCTTTCTGTAAGATTCTAAGTTTTAGTTATCTGTGGTCACTAGGTTCGAGCATGGGCCACCAGATAACGTGCTATTTTGAACCACTAATTTAGATTTTACATATGTTATATTCTTAAGTATATGAATTCCGCTTTATCCCGGCATGAAGTAGGGAAAAGATTTGAGGCTGGCTTATTGGTATGTACTCTAGTGTCAGTAGTTGTAAGTTAAAACTTTCCTTCAAAAACTTCTTTTCACTGCGGGCTACATAAAGTGTGATGTTTTCCTTTTCAGCGGCTTTTACCTTGAAATGCGTTTTTATGATTTGTGCCAACGACTGCGTAGATATAGTTTAAAATGACAATGTATTGGCGTTCTAGTCAGTATCATGGACACACAGAAAATACCCCCATGAAGATGGTTGTTACACAGAGTAGCTTGGGATGGGTTCACAACGTAGCAGCCATGCTTGCTGCCTCCATCATCAGGGCGATCAGGCCGATGATGGAGGCAGCAAGCACCTCTGAAACGACTGACATCTTCATATTTGTCGCCGTGGGAACTTTATTCTTACATCTGAATCAAACTTGGAAATCAAACACAACTGAGGTGTCGGGTGGAAGAACACATTATGAAACCGAAGTTACAACATCAAATGTCACCTCGTAAATATAGTACTAGTCACAGAAACTAATTACAAAGCACGAGTGCCAGTTCTGGTAATATAATTACCTTTACCCTCGAGTAGGATGCGAAATGTTTGTGTTTGCAAGAATAATCTGTGCTAAACTACCGACGCCGACCAAAATGTTAGCCTCATTCCTTCGAAGATGGCAGAAGTGTTCGTGTGCTAAGTAACGTTTTATTTCATTGACAATGTTTGTTGTGCTGTGGCCAATAATGAATCTTATATGTTTATCTGTAAGTCCATGTGGGAGCGGCATTATGGGGGTTTGCTTCAGATATTGATGTAGAGGTTGATAAGTTTTACATTTTGATTATGTTGTTTTGTGATTATTATTACAGTATTAAGTGTTTTCCATTCAGAATACAAAACGGAAGTTTTTTGGCGTAAATACGTCTATACGGAAGGGTCATTCGGCAAAAAGTTGACAGTGGAACCACGGTTCCGGAGAATCTGACGTAAATTCGTCTCTGTAATGTAATGAAATGTAATGTAATTTAATAATTCTTATATAAGATAAATACTTTTGATATTCTAAAACGTTTTTACTAGCACAAAATTATCTAGTCTACGACGCACTTCATCTACAAGCGATTCACAGCTCAGCTTTTTCCGCAATAACGAAAGCGGCAGTAATGTAACAAAACAATGCCGACTAAACAGATAACGTAACAATTAGTTTCTTAGGTAACATAACAATGGACGAAGGAGTTCATATAAAAACTGACCATTAATGATTCCATATTTACACATTGTTGATATGGATCTTTCACATTTTCGTTACACATCGTTACGCCTATTTGCCGAATGACCCTTCCGTATAGACGTATTTACGTCAAAAAGCGTAACGAAGATACATGACGATGTGTAAGATCCATATCAACAATGTGTAAATATGGACCGACAACAGTGGTTGTTACATAAGAAACTAATTGTTACGTCATCTGTTTACTCGGCATTGTGTTACATTACTGCCGTCAACAATCCACTTTCGTTATTGCGGAAAGAGCTGAGCTGTGAATCGCTTGTAGAAGAAGTGCGTAGACTAGATAATTTTGTGCTGTTAAAGACGTTTTAGAATATCACAAGTACTTATCTTATATAAGAAATTGTGTTAATAGAACAGCCTGACATCCCATAACCTTTGTTAATATAGGTAGTACGTATAATTTTCTTGAATATTTAGGTCATAGAAGAAGAAGAATTTAGGTCATGTTTCATATTACAAGACGTCGTTTAATGCCATGTGTTACAGACATGGTGAGTATTCTGTTATTTTCAGTTTGAAGTATGATTTTCCTGATATTGATTTTAATTCCAAAGTTATGTTTGTTTTAGTAATTTTTAGTGTGAGATACATCTTTTTCAATCACATTTGCTATATGATATGTTACCTTGGTATATTATTTTCATTCATAGATTCTCGGTTCCTTGCAAAGTAGAAAGTTTGGTGCCCTTGGAGGTACAAGGTTGTATTGCAATGATCCACTTCCACCAAAAAAACCCAAACAATCAAAAGGACCCATAACATGGCGGAGTCTTTCTATAACAGCTGTCATTGGAGGAGGATTTTTGGCGTTTATGTTATATTTGAAGCGTGAGAAAGAAATTGGTTTGTATCTTGTTTCCAGATTTCTAATCTGTTAATGTTTTTTTTTATGTCAGAACAGCTTTTTAATTCAGCGACCATATATACCTGTTTATTATATATGATTTAAAGTTTATTATTTATTACTGGGCCTAATATAAACCATTCCAATAATCCATACCCGTCTCATAACTTAACCTGTTATTACTTTTGGCATATATTAAGGGTTATTAGTTATAGCAGAGATCAATCCTAACTTACTGTTGAAGAAGGTTACAGTATTGTAAAGTTAGAACTTTTAATTTACAGTGGAAGAGTTCATACAATGCTGATTGGTCATGGTCCAATATCTTGGTCATTGAGATTTCTTGACATAACCCCACTTCATTTATTTTTATGGGGTCTTTTGGAAGAGATGACCTATAGAGCTAAAGTACAAATGAGATAGGAACTTCTACATTGGATTATTAATGCTACTGTTTGCATACAAGATCACCCTGAAATGATGGAATGGGCAGTAAATTCTTATTTAGAATGAGCAGGGCTATGTTCTGAAAACCATGGCAAACATTTTGAACAGTTGCAAAATGTTTCTCATAAAATATAGTGATAAATTTATGTGATTAATACTCTTTGTTTATATTTTACTGTGCACACTTTTAAACTATCACAACTTCACATTATTTAGAAATATTTACTTGAAATTACCTCCTGAATTCCCTTTTCTCTGTATGTGGCATGTTGATTATGAAACATGCTGTATTTTTAAATGTTGTAGGACATAACTTTCAACAGGTGCTCTAAAAAGCTTGGCAAATTGAGTGTTTTCACAGACAAATTATCTACATTTAGTTCTTATGTCCAATGATTTTTATTTCCATGCTGCAGCCAATTTTTTTTTTCAACAGCACCATTAGGTAGCCATAATGCTTCTTTTTTGACCAAAATATTACACAAGAATCTTCCCATACCAAGGGGTAGGTAACAAAACCTTGATTCTGTGGTTACAGCAATCCAGAAGGAACGAATGCGGCAGCTTGGGAAGGCAGCCATTGGAGGACATTTTGAATTGGTTGACCATGACAATCAAATTCGTAAGAGTGAGGATTTTAAAGGCCAGTGGCTTCTAATTTATTTTGGTTTTACACACTGCCCAGATATTTGCCCTGATGAACTTGAGAAAATGGCAAGTGTTATAAAGAAGCTTGGTAAGTATGTCCAGAATTTTTAGATTTCAGACGTTTAATAACTGGTTATTTTCCACTTCTCTTCCTTTTTTCTCTCCCTTTTTTATTTGTTTTTAAGGATGTTATAGGAACTGAATGGAACACAGCTTTAAATATGTTACAGGCATGACATACATATAAAAAGAAAACAAAAAAACCCTACCAGGAGGTAATTTTTTTATCTGTAAATATACATTAAAATTATATATGTTTGTGTCTTGTAACCAGAATACAGAACACAGATTTTGATCTCTGTTTCATTTTCAACTTGTACTTCTTATATCAAAGTGCCATTTCAGACCTGATACCATCATTAAACCACATCATTGCTTTTTTAGTTCCCATATCCACGCTGTTGCCCATTGTATTTTGACATTATGTCCCACATACTTTTATTTTGTGTCCAGTTCGTGGTTTGAGAACCACCTCTCGTTCAGTTTTATATGTATAGCCATCGTGAATTAAGACGAACAGCAACATCCAGGTAACATGACGTTTTAAATATGTGAACTGGGTTGAGCTGGCTAAGACAAACTTTAGTGATCACAGTGATAAACCATTTATGTTCCTAAATAAATTTATTGTTTTGTCAAGTAATGAATTGCCAAGTAAAAACCGTGTACGTACTTTATAAGTGATTCCTAATCTGGTGTTCATATTTGTGACCAATAAGGACAATGTTATATTGTTATATAATCTGTCTACTATGTATGAAAAGTATGTCAGTTAACGTCTGTTTGGAAAAAAAGGCGGAGGTATAACTGAAAGAAAAGAAACTCTAAAATTCAGGGTCTTTAAATCAGGACTTCCACAGATACTTGTCATTCTACATTTTATATTGTAGATTCAGAGGAGAAGGTCCCCAAAGTGCAGCCCCTATTCATAACAGTTGATCCATTGAGGGACACACCAGAAATTGTGAAAAAGTATGTAAGTGAATTCTCTCCTCGGATCCTGGGCCTGACGGGGACTGTCGAGCAGGTGGAGAAAGCTTGCAAAGCATACAGAGTGTACTTCAGTGCAGGTCCAAGAGATGAAGAAAAGGATTATATTGTGAGTCGCACATATTATGTTAATTGCGCCTAAATATATTATGATATTTGAGGTTTTCACGGTGGTGTCAATATTTTTTTTTTAATTTTTTGTGCCATGTGGACTGGTCAGTAGATGCCAACATTTCAGAGAAGCATACTATCTTCATCTTCAGGGCTGAAGTGACAGTGCTGAAAATTCTGTTCCTTCAGATTTTAGCCCTGAAGATGGAGACGGTATGCTTCTCTGAAATGTTGGCATCTACTGACCAATCCACATGGTACCAGAATCCAAGAGAACATTATCATAAATATAAGATGTATGAAGGAACAATATTTCGCTCATGAAACAGTTACAGAATAGTGGGAAACGTTTGCTTATTAGTCTCAGTTTTATGACTATTCAAATATAGGTTCATTCTGCTTTAATTTATTTATTAATTAATTTATCTCTAGGATTGTTATAGGAAGTGTCCACATGTTCAATGTGTTTCATTTTTACAGTTTACTAGACGACTGTCATTTATCACAGGATCTTGTGTTGATGACGTAGTTAGATGAACATGTACAGCTCATGTTACCCTGACTGGATATTAATTTCTTAGTGATGAATTCATATTTCAATTTCAAGAAATTACATTTATAATTTAAGTATGGAGTGCTGTAATTGGGTCTATAGTGGTCTCTTTTCTGAAGAATCCTTCAAACACAATTGTAGTTAAGAAGAATTTAGACAAATTTTGCAGATGTTACTATTTTGTATCTGCAGTCACCAGCTGTTGTTCCGTGAGTCCATTATCATATCCTCTGAAGAAGGTAGCTAGCTGTGATCTTCCGAAGAGAAGAAAGCCATATCTGTGTTCCTGATAGGCCAAAATATTTAGGTCACTGAAAGTTCTGGAAACTGTGTCTGAAGACAGAGCCTTCAGAAACATTCTTAGACCCATATGGCTTTAAGGTACTTGTGGGTTATTGGGATACATCGCTTTAAAAATAGGTTAGGCTAGTTGTCATTTATTGAAATAAAATATAATAACTTTCAAGTATATGTCATTTATCCACACACACTAACCTAACCTAACCTATTTTTAAAGTGATGTGTCCCGATAACCCACAAGTACCGGCTTTAATGGTCCGTTTGTGACCAATTGTGGATCCCAGCTGCGACAATCTGGTGTCTTGTCTAGGAATTGTCTAGCTCACTGAAGCCATTTCACTATGAAATAATACATTTTTATACATTTAAAACTTGATGAAAATTAATAATAATAAGCATACAGTCTTACTTTTCACATGATGCTTTTTGATTAGCCCATATATTTGACTTAACACATAGAAATTAAACTTTCAGTTTGAATAAATAAAATAGATAAATCTTTTGTTGCTTGACAGGTTGACCACACAATTATCATGTACCTTGTAAACCCAGATGGAGAATTTGTAGATTATTTTGGACAGATCCGGACAGTGGAAGAGATTATCACTGTTATCAAGGTGAACATGGCAAAGTGGGATCAGCTACACAAGGGTTGGTTCTGAAGTCATATGATGAGTCACCATCGGTGAACATGGAAGTCGTCTTGCACAGGATGTTGTGTCTTCGACAATGTGGAGTATAAATCTGTGCGTGCAGACCTTACAGTTGAACCTTAAAACTTTGCATACGGTGTGGTGTATTAGAATATAAATAGGCAAACAAAAAAACTATTAACACTAACACGCGTTTCAACCTCAAGAGGCATCAGGGAAATCAATTCATTTAATTAAATGGCTCAAAATTGATTTAGAAAATAAATAATGAATAGGACATTTGACGAAAAGTATTTTAAGCGACACCGCACCAGATGTTGTTATTCATAGGAATAGACTCTGCACTTAGCTATTTATCTGGTGGTCTGGTGGCCGTAGCTGGTTTGTGGCGAGCTGTAGTTGCGTCGTCCGCACCTGTGAACTCCAGAGTGTGAGAGACTGTCAGGTGGAATGCTACGGCCACTGGACCACCAGATAAATAGCTAAGCGCAGAGTCTATTCCTATGAACATCATCATCTGGTGCAGTGTCGCTTAAAATACTTTTCGTCAAATGTCCTATTCATTATTTATTTTCTAAATCAAGTTTGAGCCATTTAATTAAATGAATTGATTTCCCTGATGCCACTGATGATGACCTCTTGAGGTTGAAATGCGTATGGCAATAGAGTCTTTTTTATAGTGTTAATAGTTGTTTGCCTATTTATATTCTCACAGGTGAAGTTGCGCATTTTCAGTATAGTTTTATTTCTGTTGCCTCGTGTCTGTGTAGATGTAATAAAACTTTGCAGTCTTTGAATAAAAGTGTTTGCCTTCTATGTTGGTTTGTTTTCAACAGATTGACAACAGCATAAGTTTCTGAACCTTTTTATTTTAAGTTAATTATATCCTGTTATTTAAATCTGTGTCTACAGGCATTATTAGCTGCTGAGTCTCTGAAAGGGACATTGGGTTTTTTTCTTGCTCCTCTCGACCACCATTTCCGGAGTTGTTCTTAGCTTTTATGATTAACTCCTCATCCATCCTGTATTCATGCTGCTGGCTTACCTCTTAGCCCAGCCATTTTTAACCGTACACTAAGCTGCATGCATCATCTAATGACAGAAGATAAAATTATGTGCTCAGAGTGCATTCTGAAAACATTTTTGTCTTACGGCATGCTGCTGACGTAGATCGGATATGGTGGTCTGGATAAAGCACTAGTAAACAACCATCCTCATATACAGTAGAGAATATGTTAAGATTTCATTGGAACTGATCGTGGTTATTTATTTTTATTATCAGAAAAGTATTTATGTTGAAATGATCTTGAGGGAGCAGCCCCATAGAACACGAAGCTTGGATGCTTGAATAATGCATTTATATGGCAGCTGTAGGTATCTTAGCATTCACATTCTAATTGTGTGCCTGCATCTAATTGTCAGGGAAATTATGTGCAATTCGTATTCAGGACGATGTAAAACAAGACGTTTTAGCACCAATACTTTTTGACGTAAATACGTCTATGCGAAAGGGTCATTCGGCAAAAAGCGTAACAAAGTTGTGTAAGATCCATATCAACAATGTGTAAATATGGACTGACAACAATGGTCAGCTTTTATATGAACTCCTGCATTCATTGTTATGTTACCTAAGAAACAAATTGTTGTGTCATCTGTTTACTCGGCATTGTTGTGTTACATTACTGCCGTCACCAATCCGCTTTCGTTATTGCGGAAAGAGCTGAGCTGTGAATCGCTTGTAGAAGAAGTGTGTCGTAGACAAGATAATTTTGTGCTGGTAGAAACGTTTTAGAATATCACAAGTACTTATCTTATATAAGAATTATTATATTACATTACAGAGACTTATTTACGTCAGATTCTCCGGAACCGTGGTTCCACCGTCAACTTTTAATTTAATTTAATGGACAATTCAGCTTTTAGTCTGTGCTGTAACTGTCCATTCCCTTCTAAGGGCCTCTTGAATCTAGAGTTTTATAGAGTTTTGATGTCAGGGAGGAAGATGACAGTGTTTTAAGTTCAATCTTGGGGATCTGATTTGGGAATTATAGGTTTACTGTAGTAGTGAACATAGGATTCCATTAAGGGATTATTTAAAGGTACAGCTTTAAATAAATGCAGGGGGTAACTTCTGGGTCAATAATCAGTGTAGATACATATTCACTGCATAGAAACAGGAACATTTGTGTCTTTCAGGTTATGAGAATTTATTGACACCAAATTCATACGCAGGTTAATATTGGCAGTTTGCTATCATGCTGAACCATCAAAAGATATGTGTGTTTGCACTCTCCGATTCCGAATTCAAATAATCCTCCCAATTGGCCCTTCTCTGATAACTTCTGTGATGCAAATGCCAAATGGGAAAAAGTTGTTAGAATTTTGTTCGTTACTCATGACTGAACTTCGTAACCACATTTTGGCATATGAAACACTTCACAAGTTCTTTTAGCAGTTCTGTTTTATGACCCTTCAGCTAGTTGCATCCCCGACAGTTAAGAAAGTCATTCCTACACACACTGCTAGCCGTCATATAATGCAAAATTTAATAAGGGAGGCTGTATTATTATAATTGTCCCTAATTACACTCCTATTATAAAACCAAAATGATTGTCATTTTATCTGGTTTTGATGTCATATCTTAGGAAAGCCAGTATGAGAATTGAACCCAGACTGTGTTGTCACAGTGGTTAAGATTTCAGTTTCTTCATTGTAAATATAAGTAAAAGAAACAAGCTGTATGAATCAGTAAAGATGTTGGTCAAGAGAAAAACAATATATATTAATATCTCATTGCCAGACTACAGGATGTGATTACTACAAAAATGTAGAAGTAAACTGTTTTCCAGATATTATCCTTCGTCCAAGACTAAATAAAATCAAAAAACCGCGCCATTTCGGAGATGGGAGTCTATCTCCGTCTTCAGGTAAAACGTACTCTGTTGGGCCCAATCGATAGAGCTAATCGCCATCTCTGGATATAGTCTTGGACAATGGATAATATCCAGAAAACAGTTTACTTAACAACGCACCATCGTCAAAAATTTTCAGAATTGAGCTGCATAAATGTAGGTGATAACTCCTTTGGAATCAATAAAATCTTGGGCAATCAGCCATGTCAACTGGTGAAACATTGGTCCCTCCTTATAACCAAGTGACACGGCATACCTCATTTTATTGCGCTTCGCAGATATTGCATTTTTTACAAATTGAAGGTTTGTGGCAACCCTGCGTTGAGCAAGTCTATCGGCGCCATTTTTCCAAAAGCATGTGCTCACTTTGTGTCTTGTATGTCACAGTTTGGTAATTCTCGCATTGTTTTTTTTAAAGATAATGCTACTGCACACTTAATAGACTACGGTATAGTGCAAACATAACTTTTATATGCACTGGAAAACCAAATTATTCGTGACTCGCTTTATTGCGCCCGTCTGGAACCGAACCCACAATATCTCCGAGGTATGCTTATAAAAAAATCCCCTATCAAATATAAATATCACCCATCCTTAACCTCACTTTTTTGTTAACCCGAATATTTAAGTAAATAAGTGTCCGTTTAGCTGAATTCTAACACCAATTCGGTTTTGAAATACGAATGTGACTCGCTTTATTGTGGTGGTCTGGGACCGAAAGCGCAATATCTCCGAGGTATGCCTGTATATTAATGTATTTTGGTATGTATTTAACATTTTCATAATAAAATCACTTATGTTTTATCTGTTCAAGCATGTTTATGAGGCCGTAACTAATTAGAATTTCAGGCAATAACTAATTTATTTTATTTATTTATTTATTTACAAATAAACTACTGTGCTGGTGACAAAGATTTTGATTCATTTATCACAAAATCTTTTTTTGTAACTATGGTTTGTCAGGGGAACACTTTAAGGTGTGGAGATGAAGCTATCAGAAGCATACTGAACCAGATATAATAAACCACCTTACACGGCTGGCAGCCCGAGAAGAATTCATTATATTTAGTCACCATGAAAGCTTCAGATCATACAACACTGAACCAGACTTGAAACTTTATGTGGGGGAAAGTTTGGTGATTCACCATGACTTTATACTCATTGGATTCCAAGAATGTTCAATAATCACAGCCTTGCTACATCTGCATATCGCTGATGATCCTGTTATAAAATAACTTTAAAACTTTGAGGCGTGTTGTTTGTTTCTTGGTGTCTCAGTGGTCTTGCTGGCTCAGGTGAGCAGAACCCCAGACACTTGCAAGCTTCGATAATAGACGACTGCCTGGAATATAAAGCAGAGCTGTATGTGTAAATGTTAACTCGGACCCATTTAGGCGGTAAAGCTTTTGATTTACTAAGCAAAGTATGAGAAATGTCAATTATCCTCTTAAACAAATGTACATTATTATTATTAATTGTTGCTTTAACATATTTCTGTACAAAAAGAAAAGTATGAACTGGTCTAAACTATTTCATACCTTCACACATTAATGGGATGATGACATAGGAAAATGAAGTATAGGCATACCTCGGAGATATTGCAGGTTCGGTTCCAGACCACCGCAATAAAGCGAGTCACAAATTTTTTGGTTTCCCAGTGCAAATAAAAGTTATGTTTACACTATACTATAGTCTAGTCTATTAAGTGTGCAATAGCATTACGTCTAAAAAAAATTGCGAGAATTACCAAAATGTGACACAGAGACGAAGTGAGCACATGCTGTTGTAAAAATGGCGCCGATAGACTTGCTCGACGCAGGGTTGCCACAAAACCTTCAATTTGTAAAAAAAGCAATATATGTGATGCTCAATAAAACGAGGTATGCCTGTACCCTATTCTCAACTTTCAATTAGTGTTCTTCCCATAAAGAATAGAACATGATAATTACTTCATTGCAATAAAGTGACTTTCAAATGCTTGGGTTGTATGATGCAACATCAAATAAACCATGCAGTGAGGGTCTAAAAAGAAATTTAAGATTTTTGTTTTCTAAAGGACTTTGGTATTGAATTCAAATGTAATTTGTGCTGAGTGGGAATGTACTGATGTTTTCTTTTATTGGATGAGGTTAAATGCTATGTACATTTCATGTTGTGTGTGAGGTGAGTTTTATGTTATAATACTGTATCTTTTATATTTCTGACACACAAGTTGAGTACTTTGAAATACAGTAGCCATCATGTTGAAAATCTTGACAAAGGCTAATATCGTCTTTCCAAAATTTAAAATTATGGAGAGAGAGCTTAAATGAGAAATAGAAAATAAGTTACAAGATGGACTTGTGTTCCTATGAGAGTAATACAGAATGTTCCAAAAGGATATATGCACACATCCAGTGAATGAAATAAAGACTTTTAATAAACTAAATCATTACATACAAAAGCATCAACACTTAGTGAATTAGCGAATCTTGTGTAGCGTTCAAAATGACCACCGTGACATTGGTGACGGTGGTCAGCAACTGACTGGCAAGCTTAATATTCTATATTATGATGTGTATACATATTTTCAAGATATTCTGTATTATAACTATTTTGTATTACTCATTGAGAATGTATTTATCAATGCTCAATTGATGAAAGTAACAGATAGATTGGAAGTCTGGGTCAAGTCCAATTTTAGACCAAGGTTAATATTAAAGTTCTTGGGAATTTACACATCCATAAGTACACCTCTAAAGCTGTTTTATTTATTTTTAAAACATGGCAGTCACATTCTCTGTATTTTGCTCCTAATTTACCTGTTAAGGGTAAAGAAGTGTGCCCCATATGAGTAGTTATGTCTGAAGAGATAGGACACCATCTCCACTGCAAGATGGACACCAAACTTTCTTACAGCCTCTTCGTTGTCTTTAATTGGTTCAATAATATCCAGTACCTCCCTTGGTACCTTCACACTGCAGATGTTTGAAGTATGAATGAGCGAAGTGTAATCCTGCCATAAGAGAGTAGACATAGTACAGAGAAAATACAGTAAAAGTCTCAAGTATTGAGGTTGCTATTATGTGAATTCAAATTTAGCATGTCCTCTCAGAAATAAGAATTCAAAGTTTATTGTATTCTACTGTTATGTGTGCGTGGATGCGCACGCGCATGAATGCCCTGAAGTTATATGAAACATTTCTTCACAGGAAATCAAATCTCTTGCATTATATACCTACAGAAAGTCTGTTGTTCATTAGATCAATTATTTTTCCACAGAATGTGCCCTACATCTTCTGTTGAAACCCATGAGATTTGAATCCGAAATAACAGTGTATTCTCCATAAGTGATGAAAATTTCCACAAATTTGTCTTTAAAAATTTTTAGCCTGCATTCTTAAGTTAGTATTGGTAGTTTGTTTTGTTAAAGTGACATCTTAACACAAATACAGTAGATTCCAGTTAATTGGGTCATCAGTTAAACGGGGCAGCCATTTATTTGGGATAAATCTTAAAGAACAAACCTTTTTAACTTTTTACGTGGAACTAAGCCAGATTGGTCGATGGGGAGAGGTCAGACTAAGACAGGTACCCTGGTCCTCCAGGTTCGGGGTTGGTCGCAAGGCTAACAACCTTGCACCGTAAAAAGGAAGATGTTTTGAAACCGAAGTCAAAGCCTCAGACAGAAGGAACTTAACAATAGGACCGAATACGGACCGGAGAGCCATAGAAGAAAAAGAAGAAGCATAATTGGTGCAGCCACTTAATTGGGTCATATTGTTCTAGTCCCAGTGTGTCCCAATTAGCCGGAATTCACTGTATATGAAATATCAATTGTATTCTTCCATAACACAGTATTCAGTTTAATGACAAAATTAATGCTTACATGCAACATATTTTGGCCCTATGTCCTCTTCAGGATTTTTAGAACATAGAATTCTTCAATACAGAAATTATGTAACATACACTGATACTGCTGATACTTGACTGTAGGTGAAGGGGGGTTGTCACTTTAAAGATGCAGAAGATTTTGACACATTGGAAAGCCCCATGCCTCAAGTGAATTTTTTAAGTCAACAATTTCAAGTGCAAAAATCCTGACAATATTGATAACAATACTGTCAGAACTGTAAGATTTAACACTGCATACTTAATTTTAGTATTTTAAAATGGTGTCTTTAAACTGGTTAAATTTGTGAGTGATAAGTTATAATTATATTTCTACACAAATAAGGTGGTGGTGTTCTTTGACTTTAAAGTAAAAAGCAAAATGCATACATATAAATACTGTCTGAATTTATTTTCATTAAGGGACAGACTTGTAATAAAAGTTAACTAAAAATGTATAACAATTATTTATTTTCATCCGTCTTATCACAATATTTAAAATTTCTTATAATTAAGATAATAAAATATTATTGACGTTCCATATCGATTGATCGATTTACACTTTGGAACATCCTTTACACAACATGTTTCAGTTTTTATAAAACCATCTTCAGGTGTATAAGATTTTCGAACTTAAAACTCAAATATTATTCCATTTGGTGATGTTTTATGCCATTTGTTTTTCGAATTTGGGCGAGGTGTTGTCTTTTCTTAAATTTAATCAGATGTACATATCGGTCTGTAAGTAGAAGATTGAAAGAAACACTAAAGAATTTGAAAGAATTTATAAAAGAATTTAGAGAGTAAAATGCAAAATATATACATTATAGATAAAAGTATCAGTAAGATATAAATAAAAACAAATAAAACATACCTTAGATGTAGGATTGATTGTATGTTCCGATATGTCCAGAAGTACGACTGTCATCGTATAGGTGTGGGTCAACATCACCAAATGGAATAATATTTGAGTTTTAAGTTCGAAAATCTTATACACCTGAAGATGGTTTTATAAAAACTGAAACATGTTGTGTAAAGGATGTTCCAAAGTGTAAATCGATCAATCGATATGGAACATCAATAATATTTTATTAATAACATCACCAAATGGAATAATATTTGAGTTTTAAGTTCGAAAATCTTATACACCTGAAGATGGTTTTATAAAAACTGAAACATGTTGTGTAAAGGATGTTCCAAAGTGTAAATCGATCAATCGATATGGAACATCAATAATATTTTATTATCTTAATTATAAGAAATTTTAAATATTGTGATAAGACGGATGAAAATAAATAATTGTTAGACTATTCACAATATGACGCAATTACACTATCTTATGAATAGTTAAAATATTGACCGAATTTTTCGTGCGTCTTTGTTGCATGTTATGTTTGTGTAACTGTACCAGGCATGTTTCCAATCCACACTCACCAACATAAAACATTACAAGGAACCGTTCATAATGCACTTGAAGCCTTTCCACCTGTTTATAAAGATAATGAAATAATACTTGTTCCTACGTTATTACCAAAGCTAAGTAAAATATGTAGCTTCCATTAAATGGCATAAAACATCACCAAATGGAATAATATTTGAGTTTTAAGTTCGAAAATCTTATACACCTGAAGATGGTTTTATAAAAACTGAAACATGTTGTGTAAAGGATGTTCCAAAGTGTAAATCGATCAATCGATATGGAACGTCAATAATATTTTATTATCTTAATTATAAGAAATTTTAAATATTGTGATAAGACGGATGAAAATAAATAATTGTTAGACTATTCACAATATGACGCAATTACACTATCTTAAAAATGTATGCCAAAAATATTTATACATTAAAACTGAAATCCAACATATATAAGGTTTTCTTCATGCATTTTGATGAAACACATATTTATAAAATTAAGAGAAAAGAATATTTATTCTTTTTCAGTGTAGTCAGTTTTGATGTTGTGACAAACCTGAAGATGGAAGCACTGTTTCTCCTCAAAATTTTAACAAACAGCCAAAATCTCATGGCACAACAGTCTAAAAGACCACCATCTACATTCACATGGCTGTGAAAACCTCAGATCCTTCTGGATCAAATTGATTTACGATACTGCCACACCTTCATGTTCGAAAGCAACATGTGTAACCTTTTGAAGAGTTGAATACCGAGATAGCTCATGGAAGATTCTGTTACCCGTATGAGCATTACTCCAGGAATAATAGGCACTCTGATTCCAATTCTTCTGCATCTCTGCACAAAATTGATGAAGACATCCACTTGAAAGAAGAACTGTGTGATTATAAAACTGGCTCCTACATCAACCTGAAATCAAGAAGGATGGCTTGCATTTGGAAGTGCTGCACCTGGTTTGCATATTCGTCAAAATCAACTACCTGGATAAGTGTCTCATAGAGCAAAGAGCCATGCTTCATTCCTTGTACCTGTACGTACTAGGCTGTGGAGGCAGAAAAGAGAGTAAAGCACATACACTGAATTTAATAATTTGAACACATTTTTTGTAGTAACTGTCATTACAGACGGTGAAAAAGTTCAGAAATAATAACCATTCTAGAAGAATAAAATTATACATTTTCTCAGAAGTAGACCAGTACTCATTGCATGACATCAATTGGGTTACAGAAATATGTGATAATGTTATGTTAATTAAGATTAAGAAACTTGCATCTAAATAAGCTTCTGACTCTAACCTTATTCTTGAGAAGGTAATAGTGTGCTCAGATGGTCAAAAAATTATTTGCTTTTAACAGAACCCAAAGTTTCATTACCCTGTTCACAAAATCCTGTATCCTGAGCCAAATTAATCCAGTCCATACTCTCCAAATCTATTCCCCATTTTAATGTAGCCTTTGATCTGTGCCTCGGTCTTGTGAGTGGTCTCTTCCCTTCAGTCTTTGAAATCAAAATTGTATATGCATTTCTTATTTCCCCATGCATCTCATCCTCTTTGATTTTATCATCCTATTAATATATGTTATGGACCTCTTGATTATGCAACTTTCTCTAGCCATAACATTCGTAAGATTGGACAAGGTGTGTCCACATGTGTAAGAAAAACGCTATATGTACAGTCGTCTGCAGGTTTTTGCAGCTGGAGTTCCATGTATAACTTCTGCTTTTGGATGAGTTGCCATTTTCAAGGTGGGTATTCACCTTGAAAATGGCAACTACAGTGTTTGCCAAAACAGTTAACACCAAACATTCGACGTGGCTCTCACCCAAAACTTGAAGTTATACTATATGTACAGATGTACATCTACTATGTCTTCATTCATGAGGAACAGTTCATTGCATATAGTTCCAGGAAGCTTATACCTTTTCTTTGAGATGCACCAAATCTTGCTCAAAGGATACTGCATCTGGATGGCCCAGAGGGTAACCAGCCACACAAATTGTAAAGTAATCTCCAAATTTTTCTTGTATGAAGGAAACAAGATCTACAGCATATGAAAAATCACTCTCTAATTTTAAACCATTGTTTTTTTCTTGTCTATCTGTAATTAGATTCAGAAGTGGCATTAATAAATCTTGTGTTCATAAAAGATATCAGAAATAATATTGTCTGTTTAGGATTACTGTGACTTTTCATGTTGGCTTCAGAAATTTGTTTATGTGCTGATAACTGATCTGAAAGTTACATTATTCAAAACAATATAAGTGACTGAAACACAGAGAAAGGCCTACTAACTCAAGTTTCCACAAAGTTTAAAGGCAAATTTTTGTTGTATGTAGCTCATGTTCTGTAATGAAGTACACCATTTTAAAATATAAGAATACCATGTAAAATTAAGTTCCCATGTTTGATGAATATATTTGGTTTCCTTGTGTTCAAAAAGATGTCTCTGTGTTTATAAAATAGACACGTACCTCCTCGGAGAGCAAATACGTTCCTTGTGCCTATATTTCTGGCACACCGGAGCACACAAACGACCTGCCTCTTGGTCAGTCCAACGCTTGACAAGTGAAGTAGCACAGAATTAGTTTTTCCAATTACTGCCGCAAGTCTCAAAGCTTGGGGTTCACCTGCCAACAGTTACACTCAGCTTGATTTGAAATGTTCACTTGCACATATACTTAAGAATTCAAACACAGTGTGAATTTTCTCAGGATGGAACTGTAGTTGGCTCAAACTAGTGAGTGCCTCAGTATGCTTCCATCGTGTATTAGTCAGGTTCAGGTATAATTTTAAATGAAAGGAAAACCCATGGGGTCAGAAGTCAGCTTAAGCAAAGGAAATAATTCTAACATTAGGATGCTAACATCACTGAATATATTAGAATGTAGATTAATTTTGGAATGAAGATGTTACAGGTAATAAAGTTTGAAAAACATATAGCTTGTTTCCATAAGGTATATTTGTCTTCAGAATAAAACGCTACCATTTGAAAGAGAGTGATGGAATTATCTCTTCACTTTCTGACAACACTGATAAATAAATATGACTATATATCCATCAAGCCAAATGTTTCATGTGAATATACTGATATGCCATGAAGTTTTGGGTGAGCAAGTCCAGAATGGGTGTATTCGGTCATCATGATTCAAGTCACATGGTCTTATAATCTCATGCATCAAGTGGCTACTCCCATCCAAAAGTTAAGTGAGTAAAGCTGCTCAAGGCTTGTGTAATTCTCAGCAAGGTGTTTAGTATAAGGCATAAACCACTGCTCACTCACCAAGCAGCAATCTTGACGGCAGTGAAACGTCAGCTGTCAATTGGAGATGCCAGGTGATGGCAGTAAACAGTGGATTGCAAGAACTGTACACATCTTGGAGGCTGGAATAACAATTGGGGTTAGCTCTCTTACTTGCATTTTGTAATTTTACAAAGAAACTTGGTAATATTTTAGAAATCTCGGTACCTTCTTAACAACTGACGTGTGCCAAATTCAGATTTAGGTGGAGAAATTTCAAATGAACAAATGTTATCTCCAGAATCAATTCTTGCATACATTTGTTCTGCCAGGCTATATTTAGGTTCACTGAAAAAGGACATGGTTTAAAAAAATTAAACATGTTAAGAGTAAACAAACTTTGTGGTATTCTGGAACTTGACATTTTATCACTGTGCCAATAAAGTATGTATTAGGCCATACATAATTACATCCAGTAAGCTTTCATCTTAATGTTACAGTATTATGTGTTGGTTTCAAAGTGATCTCTTTTAAGTTCCTCATGAGATTTTTGGAAGTATTCAGTGTCTTACCCATTTTTGTTTTGGGATTTAATGGCCTTAATAATACTATTAGGAATAGGGATTTGCCTACGTGGAAGCAGTATATCATTTTATGAAATTTGTCAATACTGATATGAGGTCCTTGCTCACCAAAGTTGCCAAAGAAGTTGATTATTAAAAAAACAATATTTTTATTGTAATAACTTATTCTGATGTTGCAGTGATGATGATGAAAATGAATTAATCTATAGCAGAAAAATCTTTAGAATGTAAGATTTAAGTGTTGGTAAAAAAAAATTATGGTCAGCCCCTTACACTCGCTTGTATCATCAACATACAGTTGACCACCATATTTACACTTTCCTGGGCACCAATGAAAAATGATATACACTGTGGATAAGTGTAAAGTGCAGGAAGTGAAGAAATAGTAGGCTTAACCCTTAACTGTAATGCTCAGAAAATAATGTTGGTTAATAACCACGAACATTTTACATTACATAATTACCAGAAACTAAAAATATGCAGTATCATGATAAAGGTTAATTTGTCAGACACTGAAAGCAATTCCAAAGAATAAGCATGTGTTTATAGCGAGGGAACTTGGTCCTGAACATTACGGATGAGGCTTTCACAAAATGGAGAGAGAGTGGTTGGTAGTGATGGTCTTGCATATGGAACAGTGCCTTCTCCACTCTCAGTGCAGATCAAGTTCTACATAGAACAAAATACAACCTTGTAACATTAAATTTTGTTACAGCTATGAAACTGAAAGTTGGCTTCAAAAAATCAAAGAAGGCACTTAAAAATAATAAGATATGAAAGATTACTTAAAATGCTTCTTTATATAGTTATAATATCCTGTTTAGAAAGTATGCACAACAGGCTATTGGAGAAAATGTTACTTAAATAAAGAACAAACAATAGTTTGAATCATTTCCCCTATTTATTCATCTTCAGAAGAAGAAAAAAATTCTTTCATTTGTTCTTGTATAATCTGAACTTCTAAATGATTAGTCATTCTGTTGATTGGTTCATCCATTAAGTCATCTCATTGCTAATAGACCTCTTCATTCTCCTTCATGTTGGAGCAGCAGTTTTTTCATTTTTTCTTTTGTGTATTACTCCTTTGAGTTCATGCATTCTTGTGCAACTCAGTTTCTTGTTTCCCCAAACCAATTCAATAGGATTTAAATCAGGGGGTACAAAATAAATGCTTTTGTTTTTGTTGTGGAGAAGTGTGCATGTTTACTGTTTTATTGCGCTATAAAAATTTAATTAATGGTACAAAAACAAGGACAGGATCATAGGACCTGCAGCATAAGCCTAGATCATTAATGATTCGCATCTAGACATGAGGATACGACGGCGATGCACATCGAAAGTTCAGCACTTATGTTCCCGCGCTATACTTACAAATGTCATGCTCTAATTAGATTTTTTTGGTCCACAATGATTTGTATTTTTTAATGACATGACTTTTATGACTGTATTTAGAGTTAACACTCTTATTCTAATTTGTTTCACCAAGAAAACGCATGAGTCCCTTACTTTGCAAGCAGTTTTTTTCTTCGTAAACAATTGTTTTTCTTTAGCGTTGCCATAATGCCTTATCAAACGTTCTAATTTATATTACAAACTGTACTATACGCAAGAGACTCAGCTAAGAAGTTAAAACTATTAACTTTGAAAAATAAAACAAAAGTTTAGTTGATGTTTGTATCTCGCAGCCAACTGTTGAGAGGAAAAAATGACCAGTAAAAAATAAAAACTTTTGCGAGAACCGAAATCACTGATTATATAAAAAATTAATAGTCCTGAAAAAGGATGTAAATTTATGTAGATTTTAGTGTGTGATCAAACGGCTCCGGTTACTTTATAGCTTTGAACTATTTACTAGTGCCGAGATGAGTTACTGGTCGGAGGTACTGGCACCGGTAGGAGAATGAAGAGTTGAATGACCATTCACATGTGGGTGAGATAGGTACTGCGCGCGAAGCGATAGCACGTTCGGACAGATGATTCAGTCCTTGTATGCTATCGTGTGTGAAATTATTACGTTAAGGCTGCAGAAGTAGACCGCGCAATTTAAGGCGTGTGCTTGCATTGCTAGTGTTTTATAGGTCCTTTGGTGCACAAAATATAGTGCAGTGTAACAGTGCCACCGATTATGTCAAAATTAAAAGGGGAAAATATTTTCTGTGAAAGATATGATGGAGGTAGTACGTAATTCTGAAACGGTAAACCAGACTGCACTTCGCTACATCCAGAAGGCAGCCATTTAGCACAAATAGGGATGATTAGGAATGCATAAGTCTTTATCTTCTTCCTATGAAGTTTTAGGCCTGTCAAGGTCTTTGATTGAATAGAAGTTATCAGTTGAAAAATCTTAAAGGAAGATACCTCTGGAGAGACATAGGCACATGCAGGATAATAATATTTAAAGTTGCCCATCAAGAAATGTTATATGAGGGTATGGACTGGAGTCATCTGGCACAATTTAAGGCCTAATAGTGAGTGGTTGGGAACGAAGTACCAAATCTTCAAGTTCTAAAAGTGGTAGGCCAATTGGTCAATACCTCAAAAGAAACTCAACATATTTCTGTTGCAAAGATCAACTGGTTAATGCTGCTTAAGGAAATAGTCCCTGTGTACTAGTTGTGGGGGTGTTGTTAGTTCTTATGGTAACAGTAACATTAAGAAAATACTTGTTATTTTTGTCAGTTAATTTGGAATATTTTTTTCAAATGTGACACAAAGAAGTCAGATGACCCCAGAAGAAAGGTGTTATAGTTGTATAGATTTATCTCACAAAACATAAAAAAACACCCAAACAAATTGTTTTGTGACAAAGATGGCTGTCGTTTGGGTTGTGTCATGTAGTCTGGTAGTTTATCTGTTTCAGATGTCCTTGCTCCCTTCATCATCACACTTATCAGACTATGTGGTGCTACAACCCTCAAAATCTTTGTACTCACCCCCATGAGAACAATCCTAAATGGTTTATGTTCTTTGTTTCTAATCACCCTGATTGACTGGGAGTTTTGTATAAAATACAAAATGTGTTTTGTTTTTTCTCCCCCAAATAACTTGGATTTCCTTTCTTTTTTTAATAAACATGGACAACTTGACCTGAATCAGGTATGAATTTATTTATTGGTCAGAGTTTAAACTGGTTCCCACAGCTGCAGAGATTTATTGCAAAGGTTTTGTCATATGTGGAAATTTCTTAGGGCCATCTGGCATATGCATTTCATTTAACCCAAAAATTATTTTTAAGTCGGTATACTAAATGGGTATTCTTTATGGTTACAGCTTAAAATTCCTATGTTAGAAATGTAAGGTAATGTAAAATGGTGATTCTTTGAATGTTATGTAGATTAGGAAATGTACTCATTGCATTACAGTTCATTCATATTTTGAATTTTCAAGTCATGCATATTTTCCTCAAAGAGCCTCTGCAACATGTGTCAGGCACACAGACAGATAGGCTGAGTAAGTAGTTTATTTTTACAGTTCTGGTTGCAAATACAGCTAAACACTTTCAAATAATCTGATACTTATCTGAGCTTTATAAATATGAGATGTGACATTCTTGCTGCTGAGATCATTGGATGTCTGTTTTATAAATGTTCCTTCATGTTTGAGGTAGAACTTTTGTAACGCAATTTGACTTGACTTCATAGGGACACATAGACAACCATAAAACCCAAGGTATTAGTTTACCTTTGGGTTCTTTTACACGAATGTTGGTTAGTTACAAAGCAGGTGTTCTATTACCAGAGAATCAGGTTCTCATAAAGATGTTAGGTCAGTGACGATTTACACTTCTCAGTGATATTTCAGTTCTGTATCAGTACCATCTGTGTGCTGTCTGACATAGAAACATCATTGAATATATTTGAAATAGAACCATTCACAAATCCAACACATTGGTGTGCAGTTGTCAGTGTCAGTGCATTGCTGTCCGATGACATTGGTGGCGATATTTGACTGTACCTAACTGACATTGATTTTACTGAACCAATATGTGACTAGCCTTCAGCATCAGTGATTCCCATGTACTTGCAGCATTCACAGGGTAAACCTCATATATTTAAGATCAGTGATGAGAAATTGGGAGAACCCTTTAATTACATATCACATCCAAAGCGTATGGATACTATGTATACTGAAAGAATATGGAAAGAAATATGACAAGAAATGGTCACCCTCAGTGGTCTAGTGGTTAGCATGCTCGCCACTGGACCCAAGGTTCACGGGTTTGACCCCGGCTGAGGTCGATGGATTTTTAAGGGTGACAAAAATCTGTAACACAACTTTCTTCAGGGGGGAAGTAAAGCTGGCGGTCCAATATCATGGATTTACAGCATGTAAAAGAACCTTTTGAGCATGAAACAAGATGTTTCGTAAGCAAAATTCAGTGGCCTTTTCTCACCCATGTGTCTCCTTATTCTCTACTAGATGGCTGTAGCAGACAAATCAGGATTGAGTACAAATTGTATAGAGGAAGTGATCTTGTCACTGATGCACACTTCAAGGACAAAGAAATCTCCCACATGGGAGGAGGCCAAGGCCCAGAACTGGGCTGTAGTGCCATTGGATGGATGGCTGAATGACACAAAATAAAACAGGAAAGTGATATAACCAATGTCCACTTTATGAAAATTAAATAACTTTTATCTCCTTCCTTTATCTAAAAGTAACACATTGATGGCTGTCCCTTGACAGAAATTGCATTCCTCATGTTTCAAACTTAAGAAATTGCAGCTCACTGATTCAGAGCATTGAAAATATGTGAATATCAATCACTGATACAGAACTGACACATTACTGATATTGTGAATTGACCTTAACTCTGTGGTAATGCATACTAATTTTAACAGGAAGGTACCCAGTTTGAATGTCAGAGAACTAGCTGTTGTGACTGTATGTATGTTTTTTTCTTAGGTATTCCAGGAAAAATCCACGGTAATACCTTGATATAGGCCTTATGTACTCTTCTCATATGTTTTCCAGTTCAGAATAAGTAATCATCTTTTGTCCCATTAGAGGTTATGTTGCATCACCTTTTAAATAATGTAATTATAATTACTGTGATGGTGTAATGCTACACAATAAGTGACAAAAGATTGGTTATGTAACTAAAAATGAAACATGATATATCACATTTTATGTCACAGTTTTATTTAAAATACATTGAAATTATGACAAGATAAGTGATAATAAAATACAAAGTTCATTTCATTTAAGGAAGCCATGATGATATGATAAACTAAGAACAAGGCCAAAAGTTCATTTTAATGAAGTGCATCTTACAGTCACTTGTAATTTTAATTTGTCACATAGATGACTGTCTTCTGAGTTGTAGTGCCATGTAGTCTGGTAGAAAAGGGTCCTTGCTTCACCCTGATGATGAAGACAGCAAGGACCTCTGAAACGGTAAACTTCTACTAGACTACGTGGTGCTACAACCCAGAAGACAGCCATCTCTGTACTCACAGTCAGAATAACCTCAAATCATACTTAATTTGTTATATCTTCATGTATTTTGTTAGTTTCTGTGTATGCGGCTCTCTCTTCTATATAGTTCGGACAAGGAGGTGACCATTTCATTGTCAGTTCTTGGATCTTGGACTGAAAACAAATTGAAGAAACTTGAAGTGTACTACTTCTGCCCACACCCATACAATAAATTTGGTGCACATGCATAGAAGTTAAACACCATAACTTTTACATACATCTGTAATTACTCTTCCTGTTGTTGGCCATTACTGATTCCAACATGACGGCCATGCAAATTTTCTAGCCAGAACTTACACTAATGCTGATACAACACACTTCTGTGTTATTTTTGTGTAAAACAAAAATTGTGTCGAGACTACAGGAAATTTATAATTTACTTTTTGGCATTGTGGCATTAAATGATGAATCATGTGGCTAGGTGAATGGAATTTGCCATGGTGACAGGTTATAAATATATTTAACAGTTTTGTATTAAATATATTTTGCATTGAAAAGTGTCAACATTGTAAAGATGCAAATTTTTAAAATTATACATTGGAACCTTGATATATCTTGCCTCGTTATACTGCAGACTCATATATACCACAGCTGTGATCATGTCCCCCAATACAATTACATGTTTTATGTTAGATAAATGTCATTTTCACATATAACGCGGGTACTGAAGCTGTCCCCCGAAACCCACATTATATCAAGGTATTTGGCACATTTCAAGTCATGGGCATGTACAACACAAGAAATTATAAGGATAGAACTAAGTAACTAACTCTGACTTTAGGATCCAAATATTTAGGATTCCTGTTACAGTAATATTTTTATTAAGGTCCATTTGAATGTTGAAATCCAACATTCTGTGTAGTTTAAACTCCTTGATTTAACATTAGTGGGACAGAAGATTACAAGCACTGAACTCCATAGTGCTGGGTCCTTTTCAAGAAGCTAATAGTTGGTAATAGTAGGTTCATTAATGCATTTGAAAAAACCCGTCACTGGACCCTGTGCCACATTTTGTAACATGATAGTCTTTACAGTGATGGGTTGGTAATCTGCTCCAAGTCCCCAAACAGGAGGGCCAGCCCTTATTGATTGTGAGACTCCATATTCCATATATTTGGTGGTGCCCTTCATGTCAGGGGGCTGTTCCCTCCAACTGCAATCTGCAGACGCAGTATGCATTGCTGACATCAAACCGATTTAACGTGAGGACTGTTGTAATCCTCATATTAAATCGGCTCAGTGTCAGTTGTAATTACCATGTTTTTTCTCTTAACAACTTAGGTCATACATATCTATTAGAATGTGATACTTTCTGTCTCATTATTTATGAATTTTTACATCTCTGAAGGTGAGAGGCTGTACCTCCCGCTCACACAAATTGTGTTTAATAGAAATACTGGTAGCTAATTGATGTAATTTGTAGTTATTTTAAATCACAAATAAGGCCAGTATTTCTGTTAAGATGGCAGCATATAAATAACACCCTTTACCAAATGTCATGCAGTTCAGAAAGTTCACTTACTGCAGTATGGAGTTTTATCCTTGGTGGCGACATAGAAACTGCCTCTGGCCGGAAAGATGTCTGCTTCAATACCCATCTCAGTGCAGTTGGCAGCATTGCAAGGTGCTTGCACTGCAGCATTTGCATTGCTAAACAAAGAAACCAGTTCAGATGTCAGGAACATCAGGTCTGTGCTACATTCTTAATACAGCTGTAATTTTGTTCGTTGCTAGAAAGGTAGCACGTAACTTTCTATTTAACTCTATTTCTGCTTTTGTGTGTTTAAACTGGAAGTGATGAAATAGCATAAGATGTATGCTGACATTAGATTCATGTCTCATAAATGCAAGATTCTGGCCAGCGATTCATTTGTACTGTCATATAACAGTACTTCTGAAACTGGTGTAAAGTACACATTCTCAAACAATTCTGGATAATGTGTGAGGAAAAATACCAGAATTGATTTTAAAACAATAAATAAGAGCTAAATGTTTCAGTAAGAAATTCAGAATGTGAACAAAGAATTTCAGTTATTCTATCTGTAATCGTTAAGTGCCTTCTGAACATTGCAGTCGAGCAGTTAGCGCTCCTCTTTGTTATTCTCAGTCCAGTGGCTAATTACATTGATTAATTTTTAATGGTTTTCCTTAGTTATGTTAAAATTTAAAAATCATTTCTTATTAATTACCGATAAAGTGTCACTAGTTCTTCTGAAGTTATATATGTAGGAAATCACTGTAATTTATGTGTTATTATAGTACAGAACACTATTAAGATTGTATCATGTTGTGAACAGATGGACAATTAATTATGCATATAACAATATTCATAAGCCAGGGTAGCTCAGTCAGTAGAGTTACTGTCTACGGACCGGACAACCGGGGTTCGATCCTCGATGGGGGCAGAGGATTTTTCCTCTAGCCTCTGTGTCCAGACCGGCTCTGTGGCCCACCCAGCCTCCTATCTAATTGGTACCAAATCCTTTCCTGGGGTAAAGTACAGCTGGGCCATGATTTTGATCACTCACCCCCATCTAGTGCCAAGGTTAAGAATAAGTAGGAGCTATACCACCTCTCCCCCCAAGCGTCTACAAGGCGTATAGCAGGATAGCTTTTTTTACTTCTTCTTTTTCCGGTTTAACAATGTCTTCTACATTTTCCGTTACCATTTACGGGTCCCCAACTTTTATTTGGCTTGATCTATGGACATTTGGTAGGACTCCTTGGACGAGGGATCAGCCCGTCGCAAGGCCTCTACCTGTACACAGGACAGCACAACACAAAAAAACATCCATGGCATGAGTGGGATTCGAACCCACGGTCCCAGTGACCAAGCGGCACAAGACCCACGCCTCAGACCACGCTAGTTATGTTCTGTCATTTCATGGAAGCAAATGAGTTAATTGTGGTTCAGGGACAGTTCTAAATAAAGTTTGGGATTAATGCACAAGATTCTAGGTAGTTGTTTCTGTAAGGACATAAGTTCAAGGTGAGAGCCTGTTACTAAAGTGACAGAAGACAACATCCTTCGGAAAGCGTCTACTACACCTTCTTAATCATTAAAGTGGAAAATTGTAAATTGAAAGGTGACAAAGCTGACAGTAAGCTTTATTTCCAGCTGACCCTTCTTATCCATGGGTACCTTATGAACTACCATAGCAGACATCAGCTCACACTTTCAGGGAAATTACTTTACTGTTACCTCTCATTCCTGTCCCAGCGGTGACCCCAGAAGGAGCATTTATCTACCATCTTGATGGATTCAATGAAGAACATGTAAGAACGACCATGACTGCAAATTGATTTCTCTATTCCTGGTACAACAGACAGAGAATGCTCTTTGAGATAATCGCTGTAATACGGTACATAAACCAATATTGGATAATATATCATATATGGGTACATTCACAGTGGGACGTTCATGTTTGTCTGGTAATAACAGACAGGCTAAATTTATTTACTAGAGAACATTTAGAATAGGTTACCTATACCTAATTGCATGAATATTGGACAAATGATTTAGAACAGTGGTATTCAACTTGGGGTACACGAAGACATCTTAGGGGGTACATGAACTTTAAAAAAATATATATTATTTTATGATAAACACTGAGTAATCAGTAATGTAATTTATTTAATTTATTTTAGATGTAGATTATATACTATGTATAACTTGAATTATACACCAACAACTTTGGGGGTACAAAGTTGAAGAGAAATTATATCTGGGGGTACGTGAAAAAAAAGTTTGAATACCACTGATTTAGAAGATTTAAGCAGTGGTAACAGAAGTTTCATATTTATCAGTTGGCAACATGAACAGACAAGGCACAAAATTAAATTTGCTTGACAAATTTCAGTTTTAGATCCCATATAAAATAGTGTACCCAGTGAGGGCACAGATCTTTCATGTTAT